TCTGAAGGCCTTTAAGAAGAAGCTGGAGAACCACTTCTTCTGAATGTTGAAGTGGCTTTCCTGCACAGTTGGAGAATTGGACAAGATAATCCTAGTGGTTCCTTTATAAAATCTGGGAGGAGAGATAACAAGCGTACTGTAGATATAATCCCTCCTACTGGTGCTGACTGAACATGCATTTGAAGCCTTAAAAGATGGCTAAAGGGCAGAACATAATGAATAATCTTAGCTGCATGAACAGTTTTACTTCTCACCAGCCACGCTCTTCACCAATTCTATTGCTTCAGTGCATCTCAACCAAAAGTAAGAGAGTCACAGGAATGAAAAGGAATTTGTTTTGTTTGACAGTAGGCAGTTATGCACAATTCTCTAATGTAATGCAGAGTGAGGAAAAAAATCCAGTTTTCCATGAATATCTATTTGAAGCAGAACATTAGAAATTTATTCTGAGATTTATTCTTTCCTGCCCTTCTTATTTCTGGCAAGCCAAAACATTGCAATATAATCTTGCTTAACATTTCAGTATGTGGAATGAAATCCACTTCCAGCATCACTGAACCATCATGTTATTCTGTTAATATTCAGTTATAACTCTTTGAAAAATTAAAGCATCAGCACTATATTTCTTTCCTTAAGAAAACTTTTCATGTTGAGTTTCAATATTTATAAAAGTTGCAGCTACAGACACCAATATTGGCTTATATTTGCACCTTGCGATTTTAAGAAGCTCAAAACAGTACATATGAGAATGAATTGGTATGATTAATTAATAGGATTAATTCCTATTTATTAAGTTGACCAATAAAAAGATGGGGTGGGAAAGAAAGGGAAGAATTTTCTTGGTGGAGAACATCTAAGCTCAGGTCATCCAAGCCAATTCACAGGTCTTCTGACTGCATTTCCTTGCTCTGTATACTTAGAAATACTGGGAGAACAGAAAATGTGCACTATAACTATTTCCTTATCATTTAAGTTTTCGAAAAGCTTTTAAAGTACAAAAAGGAAAACTTCAGCCCCTTCATATCCAGCCCAATGAGGCCAAGAGGTATAGAAAATCTCATTTGTTGGGGTCAATATTCTGACAATAAAGGCAGAGATCAAATAGTGGCTTGGCTATGGAAGAGGTAACTCAAGCTATTTCCTCACAATTGATTTATAACACTATCCACCCTTCCTTGTGTCAGCAGAAAACAATGCCCTCATAAAATCAGCCGTCTGCATCACCAGTTCTCATCCTCTCTCTAGTGCATCTACTGCGACTCTCTTCCAAACGCTTTTTGGCCAAATTTTCAGGTACACCAATTATGCAAATATGTTATTTCTCTCTCTCTCTCTCCCTCTCCCTCCCCCTCCCCCCCCCTCCCTCTCTCCCCCCCCCCCCCCTCTCTCTACTGCTGTCCACTTTCAGCATGTTGGCAGACACAGAAAAATCATACATCATCTAGGCACTGCAGCATGGATGGAATCAGCATTGCATAATTCCACAATTTTAAAACATAATGTAAACCTCTTAGAGATAGTTCATCTATCTTTCCTTCATCTGGGCATCTTGCAAGTTACAAATAATACTAACTGAATAAACAGGAAACACGTCTCAATCAGAAATGGATGTCTACTTTTTTTTTTTAATAAATTGAGCACTAGTTTCTAATGCAAACAAGTAATAAAGGCACAGTTCTAATTCAGACAGAAAAAAACAAAAAACAAAATACCAAGTAAAAATAAAAGACAAGGAAGAAAATTCTAGCAATGACTGCCATTAGCTAGGTCTTGTAGAGCTAAATCACTGAAACTGAGCCACATGCCGGGTGCTCTCTTGTTTCATCAAGGGAAATAAGACAAATGCAGCAAAATTGTCAACAGAGATCAACATCATTTTTCCCTCTGTAGAAAGCTGTAATGCGGAAATGCAGGAATACTGTACGGGATAAGCCTGTCCTCTACTAGTCTTACCAGCTCTTCATATATTAATGCAACTATCTAAACAAAACAGTTTGTTCTCACTTTGCAGCTAAAGAACTGAGAATACCACTTTAGATTCTCATATGAAAGTTGACACAGGAAAAATCAGATGCAAGTAGGCTGGCATCAGTACCAGATCTGCACTGGCATTAGATGTGGAGTCAAATAGCATCAGGAATGTCTCTAGGAAGAAGATTGGAAATGAAGATGATGGCTGGCAGCTAAAATCGAGTTTGTCAGCAGCTGGCTATTGAAGAGTGACTAATGGTTTTTTGAAAAACCTAGTAAGGATAAACGAGATGGATTTGATGGAGATGCATTTGTGGACAAATGTCAAAAAGTTTGCCAAAAAGAATTGTTTGAGCACTACTCGAAATATGAGACACTGAGGGATCTTTCTACTCAAGTCAGAAAATTTGTGGTGAACCTGAAGATGGAAAATAAGATCAAAGGCATGCCTGTCAGATAACCAACTGCCAGTCTGATTGATGGGGAAAAAATGCTTGCTAGAATAATTTCAGGCTCTTTTTAAATTCTAGATAGAAATAGTTCTATTATTTAGCAAATAGAAAAAGTTGCATACATGCTGGGTACATATATTTCCCAAGTTTATATAACTTTCTACGTAATGCAATTTTAAAATGGCTTTGAGCTAGACATTAAGAGTCCAGACTGTGGGGGGAAATGCTTGCTTGGTATTTTTGTGACAGGCTATCATTCAGAACAAGTATATGACCACAACAGTTAGTGAGGCTTGCAGGTAGAAAAGTCAGTGCTTAACTATTCTGATAAAACTTGGCTGAAATTGCTTCTTGCTCTCTTAGTGATTTTTTTAAAAAAGGTGTGAGGAAAAGTTGTGTGGACCTGCCTCTATCAACCACATCTCCTAAGCTCATATACCTTTCTCACACAGCATCTAACAAGATAGCTTTTGGGAGTTATGCAAATACAGTTATCCAAGTCACTATTCTTCAGTGAATAAACTAGTGAACTCTGCTCTTCACTCATACTTGTTTGGGAGTCTGCAGAGACACAGTGTTCCAGAAATGGTGATGGTTGGGAGATTATCTTCCCTTCATTTCCCCCTCCCCTAGCACTTTAAAGGCAGCCTGAAGACCATACCTGGTTTCAAATTATAAAAGGAAAACACTGAGGAGACAAGTGTGGGCATGTCTATGTGCTTTAAGAAAGATTTGTGTTGTGTGGGAGAAAAGAAAGGAAGAATTTATAGCTGAGGGAGTGGAGTTATCAGCTTAACTGGCAAGTGATAGTATAGGGGAAATAGGCTTGGACTTCAGCAAACCAACGGCAAACGAACTGAATGAAGAGACAAAGCCCAGCAGTTTCACTGCTTCAGCAGCAATGCTGAGAAGTTACAGCCAGCCAGCAGCTGGTAAACTATCTTCCTTTTTTTACCTCAGCACAGACTGAGAAACTGTCATGCCAGTGCAGAACAGCAGCTGACAGCAATGAGCCAATCAGAAGGTGGTTAAATGATGGCTAAAGACTTTGGTGCAAGCTCAAGCAACAAAAATAGACTATTTAGGAAATAAAAAACACATATATACTGTACAGACATAGATGTCAGTCTGGCTGTAGTATAAGATAACAAGGTAAAAGTAAAGATTCCCCTCGCATATATGTGCTAGTCGTTCCTGACTCTAGGGGGTGGTGGTCACCTCTGTTTCAAAGCCGAAGAGCCAGCGCTGTCCGAAGACGACTCCATGGTCATGCCAAAGGCGCATGAAACGCTGTTACCTTCCCACCAAAGCTGGTCCCTATTTTTCTACTTGCATTTTTTACATGCTTTCGAACTGCTAGGTTGGCAGAAGCTGGGTCAAGTAACGGGAGCTCACCCTGTTACGCAGCACTAGGGATTCGAACCGCTGAACTGCCCACCTTTCGGTCGACAAGCTCAGCATCTTAGCCACTGAGCCACCATGTCCCTTATTAAGATAACATAGTTTAGGAATAAGTGGTGAAGTAGAAAATAAGTTTGTTAATTTTTTAAAAACTAAAAGCCTCCCTGGGGAAACAAAGTGAAAATAAAAACAGCCTGTTTGTTGCTGGTTTGTACCATCTCCCAGAAGAGTCTCCTCACTGAGATGAAGATTTACATGTGGTATGCATGCATATATACAGCCACCCAACTCAAATATGTGATTCTGGGTAAAAAGATAGAAAAACTATAAATTGCACAAAATAATGTAATACGTTAAAACATACTAAATAATAAAATAGTGAACAGGTTATTTTAAAGGTTAGAATTATGGCTCTGACTTAGAATCATGAAATCCTCACTCAGGCTGAACAAGGTCTTCCAGGACTATCTACACAGGAATAAGAACCTCTGGATTTGAAGACCATGGAAGAATCAGTCCCAAGGGCTGTTGCAATTACTTTTTAAATATCTTGATTAAATCTCTTCCCTGCAACAAAAGCATTGCTAATGATAGTCACATCCCGCTCCTCTTCTTTGCATCGTGTTCCCAATTCCTCTTCTCCTCTGTATTTCTTCAGGTTACAGAAGATCTCAGGAAATATTTAGTTTAAAATAGTAGTCCAATATTAATTTAAAATATTAGCCCAATATTGTCAATACTCTAGTGTTGCACACTAGTGTTGCACACTGCACTACGCCCTTCTTTAACCACAGTTGATTGTTAAGCCAAACCAAACAAATCATGTATAACCCAGCTATTGACAGGCATAAGTTTCAGACTGTACAGTATTTATTTAATCTACCAGAGATTTATCTTTGAACCTTCTACTTGTTTTCTATCATTGAAATTTCTTTCCCAGTATTATTTCTGAACCATGTTCTGCACTATATAATATGGTGACCTCTGAAAATTTCATCTGTAGTTATTTTGACAGTATATCCCACCTTTCCTCCCGGACTTCAAGGAGGCATACACAGCACTCTCTCCTCCAATTTTTCTCAACAAGAACTCTATAGGTTAAGCTCAGAGAATATGACTAACCCAGACAACTTTCATGGCTGAGAATGGACTTGAACACACACACACAAACAAATCAAAGATTTAAATGACATTTATTCTTTGTTTGAAACATTACGAATTGCAATAATCAATCACATACATCAAACTATTGTTGAAACATCAAAGCAGTTTCTTAATTAAACAAGCCAATTTTATGATAAACATCTGTAATTTCATAAATTAACAAGAATTGATTTTGCACAATTTTAGTGCACAATGCAAAACCAGAACCATTAATGTAGTGCATAAATATTAAAGCCTTTGTAATAAAGGCAGGTAAGCATGCTTATCCCTGAATTAGTCTTTGCCAACTAGTGTTCAAACTGCTTGGAATGCATAAATTCCCAGAATGAAGTGGTTGGGGGAGATAACTATATGCAAAGGATGTCATGTGCCCTTAGTAATTTTTCTGCAATCCTCAGAAAGCAAAATAGAAATCTTAAATTTGCAGCCTTATAGTATTCATTAACTTAATAACTTTAAGGCATTTGCTTCAATCTTAAATCCATCCTCAGACTGAGGGGGTACTAAGGGACAAAAATTTAAGAAACCCATTTTCTTGGGCTTCGTTCTAACATGTAGAACGAAACAAAAAAGCCAAACATTTTGACCCTGTCTGCTCTGATGGTATGAATTACTTCATCTAGAACTTTAAAGTCTATTTGGGGAAAAAATGACAACAAACAAAAAACAAATCCTGTGTAGTCTATCCTTTATATTCCCACACTACAAAGGAAAAGAAAGTAGACATCATTTCAACCTCCAGTTTTGAACACCTGGCCAATATAAGATATCAAAATTTATTTAGTTGCTAAGCCATTAGTCTTTAATGGGGAAAGTTACTTTTTTTGATCTCTAATTCAAAAAAAAAACTTTTCCTTTTAAAAATATGTGTTTAATTTTGATACCAAACAATATCCAACTAATAAAACAGACAAGCATATATATTATTATTAGTTTATTAACTGCATGCAAGTATATATGTACCATTGGCCAATCTGATCATCTTTTGTCTTAAGCTAAGCCATAAACAAGCATTTCACTCATCCCAGGAACTTTCAATAACTAGAATTTTGTCTTTGCCTAACTGGTAATCAACAACTTACAAACAAACTAAACTGTTCAAGTTTGAAATTTAATTCAATATCCTGGCTAGTAAACAATTGTTTTGGTCAAGATAGAAAAAAATATGTTTAATTGGGGGCTTGTGGTTTAATCATGTCTGGAACAGACAAACAATCATAATTCTGTTCTGTAAACCAATACATTATCAACTGTAATATCTTGTCTCAGAAGTCTCTTTGAACTAGAAGAGAAATATATCTGTGTGTCACTTAACAAAGATATTTTGTAATGCTATCTAGAGTATAAACACAATTTAGTCAGAATCAACTTTCAAAGTAGCATATCCAGTTAGTTTTACTGAATGTCATGACATTGCCTAGAATTAAATGAAAAGAGACACAAAATTGAACTATTTTTTATAAAGGGGCACAGTTTTAAGAAGATACCTATTCTTTCTATAAAGCCAGCAATCCATAACGCTAGCAGAAACAGGAACATATTAGTGTTTCTTCAATGGTAGATAAAAGGTGAGAAAACGTAAAACAAGATTCAGGTGTACAATCTATATAATTTGCTACAGCACTGCAAATCTTTCTGATTATCAATAGTAACAAACAAAGAAAACAAATCCACAACCACAACCCTTTCTGGCATAACTTGTCTTATATAGACTATTTATCTCTCAGCTTCATTTGTCAAATTATGAACAACAACTGATCAGATGTTGATCAGAACCTTATAGACTTCTGTTGAGCAGTTTTAGAATTCTGTGTTAATATTTTTCCCAACTATAATTATTCAGTATACCTTTGCAATTATATATTCAGGACAACTTAGTACATTCTCATAGAGAGCTATCTGCTCTGCCCTATAAATTGCCAGTTTGTATTAGTTTTATTCTTCATTATTTTGTATTTGGCACCTACCCTGTACACTTCAGAATACTAAGTAATAAAATAAACTGAAACTAGTTAACTAATAAAAGATCAATAAATAAGCAAATTATTTTACCCTTCAATATTAAATTTCACCAAAAAGCATAAAGGAACATTGGCATTTGCAAGCTAATGTATGTGAACTATTGTTTTTATGCATGCCTTCTTATTCATGAAAGTTAGGGCCTTGCTATGTACATCATCCACAGATACTGATGCTTGTGTAACTCTTTGGGTTATAAATTTCACAATTTAACTGCTTGTAATGTCCTTTTGCAATAGTACTTTCATATGGATGCTGGCCTGCAGACAAGAGGTAAAACAAGGTCTCGTGAATTTTCATCACCCACAGGTAGTCCTTGACTTACAACATAAATGAGCCTGGATTCATGGTAGTAAGTCATGGTAGTTGTTAATCGGATGACCATGTGACAGTGCCCAATTTTACATCCTTCTTTGTGTCAGTTGTTAAATAAATGCCACGGTTATTAAGCAAATCTGCTTTCACCAATAGATGTTTTTTGTCAGAAATCAGAAGTAAAAGCCAGAAACCAGCAAAAAATACCAAAAATCATGGTCACGTGACCACCAAATGCTGAAAACAGCCATAAATTCAAGCCAGTTGTCAAGACCCCAAAATGTGATTATGTGACACATTTTGGAGATGGTGCAGCCATCAGAGCTGCAAGTACAAGTTGTAAATAGCTCTTGGGAGGTCCATCATAATTTTGAACTTCACTAAGGACCAACTCTACACTTTTTTCTCCTTCAATGTATCTAGTCAAAAACAAAGAAGAAAACTATAAAGCTATCTGGGTTATTGGGTTACCAACGTAAGATTAGTAATAGGCATTTTCAATATATTTGCTATGCTGTTATCAACAAGAGGTAGTTTAAAATAAGGCATTTCACAGATAAGCCAGCCAGTCGTAAACTGGCTATTTTTTTTCTTCATTATAACTAGATAAGTGTATTAAGACATTAGAAAACTAGGAGTAAAATCTCATGTCCTAGTAGAAAACATATAAATCCACTAAAATCCTTATTCCATCATTCCATGCTTCATAACAAATGAGGCATTCCATATGATTGCATTTCCATTTATAGCTTGCACAAAAATGTTTTAACAAAGATCTGATTTTAAGAAGGGAAAGAAGCAATTTATTGTCAGAAGAACATTGAATGTATATTAATATTAGCAGGAAATGATCAAAAAATCTCCAGTAGCATAATTAACTATTAAATTAAGGTTTGTCTGGGCACACTCAGAATTGACAATATATGATGGAAACCTCAGCTGGCCTCAACGTGAAAATTATCAAATTGTGTCAGTTCAAAAGAATGGGTCCCAATAGCTGCCCAGCCATTCTCTGGACTGTGTGTGGTGATGTTCTCCCACAAAGGATAGCCATTCAACATGCCAGAGATATTGGATCCCTGTCAAAAAGAAGGGAAAAGTACAAATTTGTATTCAGGAGTCAATATTGTTTTCAGTGTAATGATGAAGCACATCATAAGGCAAAAAATAAATCTTTCTAAACTAATTGGAAAATATTTCCCCACAAGGCAAATACTAGATCTTCCATTTTGAGGGAGATCTGCATTGCAAACTCTCCACTGAAAATAAATTCACAAAATACGTACACTGGATTGAAACCAGAAAACAAATCATGGCCACATTCTATAACCAATGGTCTATAACCATTCCCACTGACCTTTATTTGCACCAGGCATATTTATCCATAATCTGGATACTTTACAGAGATGGAGTTCAACTCTCAGAATTCCCCAGCCAGCCTGACCCTTTCTGAGACCTCTGGAAGTTAGACTATTAGAACTGGGGAGTGGGAAGCTGACAGTTAGGGGAAATTGCTATTTCAGAGTTATTTCCAGATGAATTAATTCCTATCATTTCAATGTCACAGGAACAACAAGCTAAATTAAGTGGGGGATATCCACATGTTATTTCCTTTATTCACTTCATTCAGAGGAATAAATCAGAATATCACACACACAAACACACACATGTCCCAAAAGTAACCCTATGTTGTACAGTTCAGATTTTAGAAGTAATAGGAAAATACGTAACTATAATGCATCCCAAGGAATGCCTTATATATTAAAATCTGACTTCAGGAAGGGCAATTCTCTGAAAATATGTGGATAGACAGGTTTTAACCTGCTGGGGTTTCTTGTACTAATCTCTAAGAGGCGATTCTTGAACAAAGGAACTCTCTCAGCATGATACTACTGAATTGCAGCTTGTCAGGTAGTTGAATTTTAATACCTGTGGCTTAATGAGATAGCAGGCCTTTATTCCTCTTTAGGAGTTAATCAGCTTACCAGTATTTGGATAGCACTTCAATGCTTACCTTCAGAATCAGAGTGAGTGTATGCCATCTGTTTGCTCGCACACCAGATAACCCTTTCATCAAGATATCAACGCCAGCTACAAAAGAATAACATTTTAAAATGCTTTCTCTATTTATAAAGTGAATTGAAATTGTGTGCCATACAAACTCTAAATTTGAACAAAATTAAATAAAACAAAATTAAAAACATACAAGAATACAATATAATTAGTATATTATATTCAAATACATTATTATATTATAATATTAGTATATATATATATATATATATATATATTTTCTCAGGTTTTCGCGGGTGTTTGCATGTAGGTCTTTGGTTATTCGGGTCTTCTCCCATGTAAAATTGGAAGTGTCTTGGCGACGTTTCGTCAAGGAGTATATGAAATCCCATGCACTGCCTGCCCCACCACATACATTGGACAAACCAACAGACGAATAAGTGTACGCATAGAAGAACACAAGAACTCAGTCAGAAAAGAGGAACCAACTTCTTCCCTGGTCCAACACCTTAAAGCCACAGGTCATGATATTGACTTTAAAAAGACCAGAACTATCGCCAAAACTGAACACTTTAACAACAGAATAATCAGAGAAGCCATCGAGATAGAAAAATGCCCACACAGCATGAACAAACGAGACGATACCTCCCGCCTACCAGCCATTTGGAAACCCGCCCTTATTGACAAACGAGTCCCTAACACGACGAATGACACCAGACCCACACTCACGAGAGCCACACAGGATGTCACCACCACACATCCATGCAGAAAGCAGACTCAAATCCACACTGATAATGAGCCACGACCAAGGACCAGAAGCCAGACCGCAGCTGCATCATTAGCCACTTTAAACCCTCCAATCCATACATGAAGCAGACTGATACCCACCATGAAGAGTTCGCACGGCCACAAACACGAAGCCAAACAACAACGCAGCTCACCAGCTCAAATCCCCCTGCAACTCAGACTAAGCTGAGCACAACCAAGCCCCCACCCAAACAGAACACACCCCCAGCTAATCAGAGCACAACCAACCCCCCATCCAATCAGAACACAGCCAAGCCCCTAACCAATCAGAACACACCTCCACCCAATCAGAACACAGCCAAGTTCCCACCCAATCAGCTCACACCCCCACTAGCAGTTAAAAGGAAGAGACAGCTGCGATCTCACATTGCTCCTGGAAGCACGAAGCCGAGAACACCAGCCTGAAGATGACGAATGAGACTTCGTCGAAACGTCGCCAAGACACTTCCAATTTTACGTGGGAGAAGACCCGAATAACCAAAGACCTATATATATTATTAGTATATTATATTCAAATATATTCAAATTGCGATGGGTCAGACACGATTTCGCAACTAACAACAACAACAAATTCAAATACAGCGATAAATTTCAAGATAAGCTAAGGATAAAAGATAGTTTTCAATATTGTAATTTATTTGGTGTTGTAATGTATGTGATATATACCACATTTTGAGTCCATTTTGAGTTTTGAATATTAAAAAAAAATGTTCCAACTTCTACCTTTTTTTTATGATCTAACTTTTTATTAGTTTATCCAAGTATAAAATACAAAGCAAAAAACATGGAAAAGTAAGAGAGGGAGGGGAAAACAAGGGATATAGTATAATGGGAGGGGAAAAAAAGAAGGCACCAACTTCTGACTCTCTTTAGAACAGAAAGAAACATTACAACCAAAACATTTTGCTTTTACACAGCAGTATGTACAACTTTTAAAAAAACTTTTTTTAAGGGACGCGGTGGCTCATTGGCTAAGATGCTGAGCTTGTCGATCGAAGGGTCAGCAATTCAGCAGTTCGAATCCCTAGTGCCGCATAATGGGGTGAGCTCCCGTTACTTGTCCCAGCTTCTGCCAACCTAGCAGTTTGAAAGCATGTAAAAATGCAAGTAGAAAAAATAGGAACCACCTTTGGTGGGAAGATAACAAAGTTCCGTGCACCTTTGGCGTTTAGTCATGCCAGCCACATGACCACTGAGACATCTTCGGACAACACTGGCCCTTTGGCTTTGAAACAGAGATCAGCACCGTCCCCTAGAGTCGGGAACGACTAGCACATATGTGCGAGGGGAACCTTTACCTTTACCTTATATACAACTTTAACCTTCCTAACATCTGGAGACACTAGGTTGCATAAGATTCTGAAATATGTAACATGAAAGATTTGCAGGGCAGTTATCAAGCCTCTGAGAATAAAGGGCAATCCACCTATCCAATACCCTCCCCCATCATGCTGCAAAAGTTAAAAAGTAAGAACTCACCGAGATCTCTTGTGACTCGATATGTGCCATCAGGAAAAACCCAGAAGAAAATTCCTTGGGCAGATGGAACATATATGCCACCTTTGCTAATTCTTCCTGCAATGAATGCTCCTCCTTTATTTGATTCTATATAAATATCACAGGTTATTATGAAATTTATCCTGCAGGAATAAATGGAAGATGGTTAAATTTTGGACTGATTTTTTTTTTTTTAGGAATGGATACTAATTGTCTTAATGTTTGAATAGTCTTTTCTCTTGCTTATTTTGAAATCAGAATTTGTAACAATAGAAGGGTGATCCAGTTCATAATTATAATATGTCAGGGGAGTGATATTTTCTTCCCACGGGCCGGATGCGTCACACGCTGACCACACCCATGCCTGGTTCAGTGAAAAGGAAAAAAGTCCTGATACGTCACGTGACGCCATCGTGACGCCATGAGATTGACACCCCTGATCTAAAGTAATATTCTCAAAATAAAATAATGCTTTATTTGAGGCTAAAGGTTATTCCATATAAGACTTCCCAAATGAGAACTGCTTCATCTTGGATTATTTTTTAGCAAAGATGAAGTAAAACAGGTCTAGGACTTTTCGGCTCGAACTCTTGGCACTGCCTGTTTCTCCACCAGGGGTTCGCCTCCGTATTATTACACTTCGGCACTTTGGGCCACGACCCCTCCATCCCAGTCCCTTCAGCGTGACCCATTCGTCACAGTACAGTTGTGTCAGGCTTTTGGGCACATAGGACAGTTCAAAGCCAGCCAATCGGTGCAGGGGCTCGGGGGCTTTGGGAGTAAAGCGGGGGCTGCAATTCAGAGGGAGGCTCTGTCAGTTCGGAGCCTCCTGAAGCGCCCAAGAGCAGTGCGGGGGAGGGATCTAGCCACAAAAGATGTGGTGGAGAGGGGCAATAGAGGTTCCCAGGGCCTCTCCCTGTGGAAGAGAGGGCTGGGAGGCGGCAATTGTATTTCTACCCCAACCGGGGCTGCCCTAGTTAGTAGTGCTTCAGGCTCTGAAACCCCCATCCCCACCCCACCCTGGCCACGAGCCTCCTGTCTGTCAGTCTGGAGCCTCCCTTGGCGGATGAAAGCAGCGCAGGGGGAGGAGGACTGTAGAGGACGAGGGATCCATCAGGTGGGGCTTTTGCAACCAGCTGGCGGGAATGGCTGGCCTGATCTTTTGCTTTTCCTTCTGGTTCTGAAGATCTTTTGTTTTTCCTTCTCCTGGTTTCTGAAGACCCACCTGTCCCTGCTCTCTTCTAACCTCTATCCCCACCTCTTCATTACCTCTCTGCTTCTCCCAGGTTTCTGGGAGTACCTGGCATTTGTCAAAACAGATGTCTCACCTTTGATCAGAGCCTCCCCCTTCTGCCTAAGAACGCATTCAGTTTTGATCTGTTCCCAATACACCAGGGGGCCAAATGGCCAAAGGAAAGAGATTAGACTGATAAGACTAATGAGGAGTATTCTATCCTTTTTGCAGGAATACACAAATCTAATTAGGAAGCCAGGATGTTATTTTATGACGTTTCTGACTGTATAAAAAGGAGTTACACCTTCTCTGAAGTGTAGCCTCCATTTAAGTTTCTTGTTTGGCATTTATGAGCTTAAAGTATTATTATTGGACCTTATTGGACTTTACAGATGGAAATGAAGAGTAGTGAGGAGCAACACTAATTCCAATCGCTTATCTTTTTCTCTTTCTCTGCTCACATTCCTTTCCCCAAACAGCCCTGGGAGGGCTAGAGCCCGGTCAGGAATTCCCTGGAATTCAACGGGGAAAATACACCTTCAAAACTGCCTGATATCTTATAAGATTTTAAAAATTTTGTTTCCAACAAAGCCAACACTTCACAATACTTTAAGAGTTTTTAAAGTTTAATTTGGGATGCATTCAATACCATCTAGGACTATTGAAAATGTTATACTGAAAGTGATATATTACATATATTATACAATTACAGAAATACTGCACCTAAAAATACCTCTGGAAATACATCTAAGAGCAACAGAGATGCAACTATCAGTCTCTTTAGGAGAACTGAATCTAAAAGGATAATCAACAATATTATGCAATGTTCCATTTCTCTGGCTACCATGCTTGTAGCTATAGTATATGAACCTTCATTTTATTCCCAGGTGCTTTTTCTTTTCTAGTTTGGTATAGCTAAGGAAGAAACAATATCAAAGATGAGATCAAGGGAAAGAATACTGCAAAAGGGAAGACAATAAGCTATTATCAGTATGTTCTTTATCATTTATTTGTAAACCATTCTGTAGATTCATTTTTAAAATCGAAGGGCATCACGGTGTCTTAAAATAAGTAAGTTTATTTACAGCAATTTTGTTTCCAGAATTCAAGAGATCAAATAATTCATACTTTGAAATATAAGACATATCCTTGTAACAAGCCTACTTTCAAGAATACTACCGGTAGCTAGGATAATTTTTGTCATAGGAAATATGTTCAGTTTTCTTTTAGCAATGGCTTCTACTCATCAGCTTCTCATTACACTGAAGGAGGCACTAGGTGGCAATCTTAGATTAAACATTATGTAGCACAAGATTTACATAAAAATGACAACACCTCGGATTCAACAGAAAAGGCATGTTATAGGTCTTATCTACAAAGGAGTTCCATCTGATGGCACCCAGGAGACCTTTTTCTGATGTGACAGTATAGATTGGCTACAACCTCATTGGCCCTTAGAAAGTCCCTGAAGCCATTGTCACAAGATCAGGCCTTGATTGGTTAAAAAGAAGTTATTTGTTTTAATTATTTTAGTTTATTTCTGTGAGTTTGTATTTGCTGTTTTAACTCATGAGATGCCAAAGTCATATAAGTGAAATGGGGAGCAGCTATGTAAAATGTATGAAATAAAACTAAAATAAAGAATAACCACAATAAAGCAAGTTATCAAGAAAAGATTCTCTGCAACTGTACGTTCACTGCTATGCCCAAGTTTCATAATAAACTTTGGACTAAATTGAAAATGTACTACAATACATGTACTACATACCACTTATAATTGCCTATAATGCTGATTGTGTTCGTTGCATCTAGAGCCCAGGTTACAGGTCTCTGAGTCACCACTTGTCGGAGTGTGAAGACATGGTCCCCTGGATCAGAAGCATTAATAAAATATTCAAACACTCCTGTTTGATCAGCAAAGTATGGTGCTTCGCTGAAAGGTGGGTTGCCTATTTGAAGAACATAAATTTTATTATTTCAACTCCTCACAGTCATAGGTGTTCACATTATACAAAAGTAGAAATTTCTTAGTTCCCAAAAAACTCCACATTGTAATTGTTTATCGTCATATGTACTGCAAAACTCATTTTTACTGTCTTAACTGGTCCCCTCTTCAAAGTTATCAAGCTAAATGAAAAAAAGACCACCAAGAACAGTCAACTGAAATCTGTATGTGATTGGGAACTCTAGTGGGCTCAGATCTCAGTATTCATGTTTTTTGTGATTTACACCAACTAAGATGCTTTCAAAACTAAAAGGCTGCAGAAAGAAGTTCAGTGAACAAATGCATGGACTGACCAATTTGCAGCAATAATCACCAAGCAGAGCTAAATAGTTATTTATCATGGATGGTTTAATTTGGATCCCTGTCCGAACAAGGGATTAGAATTAAGGTTGTCAATAGATTCTCCCATTATACGTTTCTGTTCCTCTACTATAGGGAATGTTAGAGAATTTATACTGTCGATGAGGACCCTATCCTTGACAAAAATGACTAGTAGCCGAGGATCATCAAATAAAGAATTCCCTCAAAATAGCTTGATGTTGACTTACGGATGTTGAAATCATCTTTGTAAATGGACGGAAAAGGTTGAGAAGGAGGAGGTTCTGAGGAAGAACCTTTATGGCCAGTTGTTAGAGTTGTCAAAGTATAGATTTCATCCAAGCCCAAATTTAGCGCCAATATTCCTTCAGAGATCTGCATAGCAAGGAGGACAAGTGACCAAGTAGTAGCAGTACATACAGGGAAGGCTTTCAGGGCATTGGAAAGGATTCATTTTTGGACCACTGGCAAGAATGAGAGACAATTTGGTCTAGCACTTAAGGTACCAAGCTAGAAACCAGGAGACAGTGAGTTCTAGTCCCACCTTACACATGAAAGCCAGCTGAGTGACTTTGGGCCAGTCCCTTCACTGCCCGATTTACCTCACAGGGTTGTTGTTGTTATGGGCAAACTAAGAGGAAGAAGAATATATACAGATAACTCTAAAGAAATGAGTTTTAGCTGCAAACTATCATTCCAAGTGATTTACTACATTCCCAAATCAGCCATTTATTAGGAGAGAGTAGGGAGTTATAGGTAGACTAAACTGTTGGTTTTATACACCACCTGGAGGCCATTGGAGTTGGGCACCTGTAATCAATTTAAAATGATTAGGGCTTATAGTTTTAACATTTAGAGTGCTCATATTTCTTTCTAAATTCTAGCTGCCTCATTAAAAGCAGAAATATGCTGCCTGCTATGACAAGATGCATGCATTTCAGATATGGGAACTTCATAATACCTTTCCTACTTAAACAGCATTACTTTTTTGTTACAGAATAACCTCACTAACAAGCAGTTTGGTTTCAGGAAAAATTTGTCCTGTAATTTACAACTCCTACATTGCAAAAACATATGGACTATACAACTTGACCAGGGTAAAGCAATAAACGCAATTTACATAGACTTCTGTAAAGCCTTTGATTCAGTGGTACACGACAAACTACTGTTAAAACTAAACTCTTACAGCATTTCCAGATCCTTGCATAAGTGGATACTGAGTTCCTGTCAAACAGGCAACAAGTAGTCAAAATAGGGAGCGCCCTATTAAATCCTGAACCAGTTAACAGCGGTGACCCCAAGGCAGTGTTTTAGGACCCACACTCTTTATACTTTAATAAATGACATTTGAGATCATATTATAAGCAACTGCGTCCTCTTCGCTGACGAAGTTAAACTATTCAACACCACTGTCAATGCTGCTGCCCTACAAAGTGACTTTGACTATGTGTCAGAATGGTCAAACAATTGGCAACTCCAAATCTCAACCATCAAATGCTCCAACTTACACATTGGCAAAAAAAATCAGAACACCATATACAAGCTGAGCATATATGATCTCATAGACGACCCTCACTCTGTCAAGGATTTAGGAATACTCATCTCAAATAATCTAAGTGCCGGAGCTCACTGTAAAAGCATTGCCAAAAAGGCATTAAGAGTTATAAACCTAATCTTGTGAAGCTTCTTCTCCGGTAACATTGTACTGCAAACTAGGGCATACAAAACCTTTACTAGACCAATTCTCGAATACAGCTTGTCTGTCTGGAATCCGCACTGTATATCAGACGTTAATACAATTGAGCGAGTCCAGAGATATTTCACGAGAAGAGTACTCCACTCCTCTGCTCACAACAAAATATCTTATGCCACCAGGCTTGAAATTTTAGGCTTGGACAACCTAGAACTACAGCGCCTGCGGTTCGACCTAAGCGTAGTACACAAAAGTTATCCGCTACAACGTACTACCTGTCAACGACTACTTCAGCTTCAACTGCAATAATACACGAGCACAAAATAGATAAACTCAAGGTAAACCGCTCCAAGCTCAATTGCAGAAAATACAATTTCAGCAACAGAGTGGTCAATGCCTGGAATGCACTACCTGACTCTGTTATTACATCCTCAACCCCCCATAACTTTAACCTTAAATGATTTACTGTTGACCTCACCCCATTCCTAAGAGGTCTGTAAGGGGCATGCATAAGCACACCAGCATGCCTCCCGTCCCTGTCCTACTGTCCCCATTATTCGTACCCATTTCCTGTATTAATATCCATGTTATATTTACTCCTGTTATCTCGTACATGTTTGACAAACTAAATAAATAAATAAAATAAAATAGAAGCAACTTTGTAGAAGACGGCATGCAGGCAAATGCTCTTCCTTTGAATACCTTTAGTTCCTCCAATAGACTCTTAAAGGCAATATCCATTAACTGTATCATAGTCATATTAACCCTTTAACTTATGGTGTACTCACATTTTTAGGGCCAAGTGACTGAAATAATGTGGAGTTGGCAGTAGAAAAATCAAGCTTGGAATACCACATCTGAAGAGATTTCAGCTTGCTCTGGAGGAGAAAAAGTTTACATATAATTTTTAATTTTATTTAATTTTATAGCCACCAACATAGATGGTTTGTAAATTAAAGGCATGAAGAAGACTAATATTATCTACTAGCCAGCATCAGGACTATTGTGACTCTAATTACTAGTTACTAAATAGAACATGAGCAGTAAGATACCACTTTGCTCATATCCTCTTTGTGGGCTCCCCACTGGTATCTTTTTAGCCACTGTGAGCCACTGGATATGATTAAATTGACCTTTAGTCTAGCCACCACAGTTCTTCTGTAGTTGCTTAGACAGGAGGCAGTGGCACAGCAGCAGAAAATTAAAACAAAACAAAACTCTAAACTAGGAAGTCAAAATAACAATCATCTAAACACCTTTTTATATAGATGGATAAATATCAGACTATTGAAATTACATAACTTTCTTTAATTTTTCAATGTTGTAATTAATTATTTTATTTTATTTTTGTAATAATTTTTTTTTTATTTGATAACACAAAAATTCCAATTTCAATTGAACAGTGTGTTCTCTGGGTACAAATCATTTTAGGAAATAATAATCAAGGTATTTACAACAATACTTGTTGCATTAATATCAGTTGTATTAATATTAATAATATTAATAATATTTGTTTAACCATGTTTGTTTATGATGAATTGAATCTACTCCATATGAAATTGCATTCTCTAGTCTTGCCTCTCTTGATACAAAGCTGATTCAAAGTCTTCAAAGTTGACAAATTTAATAGAATTAAATAGAATATTCTATTCTATTAAATTAAATATTTAATAGAATATTCACAGTTTAGAATTGAACTATTCTTCCATATGTAGAAGATCATCTTTTTTGAATCCAAGCACAATATATCCAAAGTTCTTCCAGGATTGAACATTTCTACATTTTTGAAAGATAAGGATTAAGAATATCAATGTATTGTTAAATTAATTGCCTTTAAAAAGTTCTGATTCATCATGTCTATAATATATGACCAATAAGGAATTACATATTTACCAACATTCCTTGAAATTTATTACTAATGTAGCATATTAATAGACCCAAACAATTGTTTTTTTAAAAAAAACTCTGAATGCTGGGGAAAAGTAGCAAACTGCATAGATAACAAAAATTTTAACAGTATTTATTGCTATTTAAAAACCTTTTCAGAATCTCAAAAATACTAATAGCATTTCTAAAATTCTAAATTCTAAAAACAATTGATTAAGAGTATTATGAGCCCATGACTTTAAAAAAAAATGTACTGCTACCCATTTTAAAATAAAAGAAAAATTTATACTATAATTATAACTACTATAATTGTCCCGATAAGATGAGCCCAGCTTAGGGCTCTGATATTTATTCAATATTGTTTCCATTCCAATGCATGACTGAGATTAATAAATGGGCCTCATAATACTATTTAAAATCAGAACAACAAAAACAATTATTATTTACTTCAAAATAAATTAAAATCTGGTTCATTTATCATCAATTCTGCTGCTGATAGTTCCACTTAAATATTTTAAAACCCATTAATAAGCTAATAATTATTTTTTAATGGAAGGAACAAATATCCAGAATTTCCCTGTTCAAATTAAGTCTTTCTTGGAAATCTGAGTTACACAGCAGAAATTAGTACTATAATCAAACCACAGGAAGCAAAACATTGCAGTACCATGAATCTGAACTGCACCACGTTTATTTGTTCATGGACAACTTCTGACAACAGCCAATAAGACTGGGTGCATAGGAATGGAATTTGTCCCTCAATTAGTTTTATGTAACATTCAACTACATAGTCACTTCAAAAATGCCAATCATTCTAATTGCTATAAATAAACAAAACAAGCTATTGTCTTATCTTATTTTGATCATCTACTCTTTAAGGCACCTGACAGAGTGATTGAGGTACAGTTCAATTACTTACAAAGGATCCCTTCAAGTGGAAAACTGCCTTTTGGGGTGACACAACATAGGGAGGAAGTGGTGGCCTGATGCACTTTGAGTGGTTACGAGTCTAAAAATAAAGAATAAATTGCACAGATCAAACATCACCTCAAAATGTAATTCCTTTTATTTCCATCATCCAGACTGTATATGACATTGCTTATTTAGATAAAGAGTGTCACCCACATAAAAGCATAATTATCAAATTCTGGAAAATCATTATGTATGTATGTATTACTTTTTTTAAAGATAGGGTGAAAAGAAAAGGACAGAGAAGAGAGAAATCCCAAGAATAGCTCAATGAGAACTGAGCTATGTTTGGTGACCACGAAATACTGACCACAGGAATAGGGGGCAAGGTTTCCCCACCCCATCTTTGTCTGTCTTTGTCTCTCTCCTAAGACAGCATTCTGAAGAGGGTGTAAGTCATAATGCAATACACTGCAATAATAATTCTGCTTGCAACTTATGTCTAGGATATCCCCATGAACTGTGGTAGTGACTGGGAGTGAGGAGATCCCGGGAACTAAGTTATTCTATCTGATATGCCAAATCAGGAAGTGGAAAATACATCACTAACACACAACAGAAAAAAAAATACACACACACAAAACATAATCAGTAAAAACAGACCAGGTTTGCATTGCTGAATCCTTAGAGCATAATGCAAGACCTTAAGATCACAACTTGAAAATTGTTAAAGAATATAATGAACCACAATCATAAGCTTCTTATTGTCTACTCAGGATCTGAAAAAATTCCCGTTACAAAGATGTGGTTCAATATAAACAAATATAAATTTGTTTAATATATAAATGAATAACTTGACTTTAGTATTGCATTTCAAAATGTTAAAAAAAATCCTTTATACATACTATACTAATAATTTATACTACAACCCTGTAAAATAAATCAATATAACATATCCCCAGAAGACAAATTTGTTTGTCTAAGGCCTCTTCTCGAGGCCTGTCAGAACTGAGACTCAAAGAAGGCACTTCTCATTCACAACTTAGTCTTAGGGACTATATTAGACCAACTGAAAAGACACTAATACAATGCTCCTCCTAGAGAAGCATTTATTTTCAATATAAATCAGCAGGTGGCAGCATTTGACTGATTTTGTGGGGGCTCAAAAACTAAACAGTGTTATTATTTGGATGGGAGAGTATCAGAGACTACTTGGGTTATAGACTATACTGAAAGTCGGAGGTGGGGGAGACACCTTGAAGAAATGCAACAGCAATTCATTTTCATATTGTTGCCATGAATACTCCATGGATGCATTAATGCAATTAACAGGAGCCAAGAGCAACTCAAAGACAGTATACTTCCATAGCATTCGTCCTGTTATGCTTCCATAAACTTTATAGTGTGTGAAATCAATTCTACATTAGACTTTGCTGAATAACACTACCATTGTTTCAATGATGACGGTCAGATTGCCTAGCCCATCAGTCAGAGCCACAAAGCTTCCACCTTTTTTCAGATGCCCATCTACTTTCAGGTAATACCAGCCTGGTTGGGTGAACTGTGTTGTATGTGCTGTGTTAAAACAAAAAACAAAACAAAACACTGAAACCTGCTTCAATGGGAAGAAAAAATAATAAGGTCAACACAAAATCACATGAAGAAAGGAGATAGCTCAATTGTCTTACAAGTAAGCAATCATCTCGCTCTGATTGCAGTACCTATATATAGTTACAAGTCAAAGAAAGGTCCAGGAATAACTTCTTATAGGAATGCAGATGGTTATGGGTTTAATTCAGAAGAGCTCCTTCATAATGTGCAGGATCATGAATGCAATACCAGTCTGTGACTCAATAAAACTACTGTGGTTTGGACCAACAGTTCACAGCCTGTGCTCTCCAGCTATTCCGGATTCTACGGCCTATAAATCCCAGACAGATCAGATATTGTAAACTGGAAGGTTCCAGGCTAGACTCCAGTCCTAATGGTCAAACTTCTGAATTAAAAAGTATTTTGAATGATTAAGCAATAAAGTAAGAACAGCATTATGTTCTCATACAACTCACACTTTTTTCATAAAGTTATGTGCTTATTAAAATGTAAGCATTGAATCAGTACATTTAATGGTCTGAATTCCAAACCTGACTGAATCAGAAATCTGTACATGGGAAACAGAATGAGCCTATGGCCTCAATTTTGATAGGACAAAATCTCTGAAATTATTTCAAATCAACAGTAGTCCTATGAAGCTACTCCATTGTGCAAAATCTTGCACACATGTTGAAACAAAACTGTTTTACTCCATGCACATTCTCTTATAATCTCTAGTAAGAAGCTATGTATTATTCATTTAGAAAGATTCTGCTATACTCCAACAAGTATTACGATTCAAAACAATAGATATTCAATATGCTACTCAACAGCTCAACATGCATTTGATAACTGGAAAAGTTTATGTCTAACTTTTAAAATGTACCTGTGACCCATATAGGAGAATTCACAGAGTAATGTCCACTCCATGGTTCTTGTGCTGTCATTAAACCACACCTTCCAAAGGGTAATTCTTCATAGTAACTAGCCACCAAATTCCAAGCAAGAGTGCTAAGAACAAGGAATAAGAAAAAGGAAGGAAATTATTAATTATATTCCACTATTCGTAAACCAAAATGTTCCAAGTGATTTTACAGGAGATAGCAGCAATCATTAATAAAATCTCAATAAATAAGTATATAAATAAATGGAGGTGGTTACCAAAGGTGAAAATACTGACACAGACTAACCTTAGAGAGGTATTTATTTACCTGCCTGCCTTTCACTCACTTCTGAAACTTTTCACTTGATGGTAATAGCGCAAAAAATCGAAAGGAAGGGGCTTCACAGATGTTTAGACAGTTAAGTGGCCAAGCAAACATCCACCTATTTAATTCATCCCAAGAGCTACTATATATTGATCAATCAAGCACAACGTAAGTATTTACCAAATCATATATTAAGAAACACTCTTATGGGGGAATGTCTGCAGAATAAATGTTCTTGTTATGAATAATTCATCTGGGGGGGGGCGGGAATAGTTGGTCCAACTTTCATGAGCACAATTATTTCATTTGTTAAAAATATTGATCCAATTGTCACTGCCAAAAGAATTGAGCAAGGTTTTCACATTATAGGTCCACATTATTGTCATGAAATACACTTTTATATCACCAGACATATCGATACATACGCAGTCATGTTCCCATTTACATAATTTTGATTCAGGATTCGAGCCCAGCAACCAGAACCCACTTCATTGTTGAAGGTACTGTAGTCCTCAGAAGACCAGAGTTTCTTTAGAGTTAATTGAGCAGCTTTCACTGTTTCTGTCCCTGGATAGTGAGCCCTAGGCAGGGGAAAAAAGTATAAGTTTTAACTCCAATATATATGCATTTGATTAAATAACATTCTAGAAAAGTATAGAAGGCATGGTGTCTTTTCTGATAACGGTATTTCCTCAAGGCTTCAATTTTTGATGGTTATATGGAAAATTGGGAATCTCAACTAGTCTTAAATAACTCATAGCTCTTTCAAGGGCATTTCAGCAATCTCTTTGCTCCCATCTATTCTCCTTAGCGTTTACTTTTACAGCAATGATAAATCTGTGGCATAGCAAATAAAAGTGTTCGTGCATGAATTCAGGAATAACATTTAAAGGCTACCATTTACAATGTGAATGCTCAGCATTTATCCAGCATTTTAAAAGTCAGAAATGTTTGAAAAAAAGGAAGAGTAAATCAGTACGATAATCCCTGGATTGCAGTTGGCAAGTTTTAGCCTTAGTTTTCTTTATGGCTATCTAGTAAGATCAAAGGAAAGACAAAATTTTAAAAAAGGATTTCCAGGGTTTCACTATGTGGCAGCATTCTCTCATTACTACTGAGCAGAATTTAGAGACCTAAATGTCTCAGTGCTTTTAATTTATGTATCTTAAAACATGAGTCTAGATTCCTTTTGAAATGAGGAGATGCAAAATAACTCAAACCTCTGTCTTCATTTAACAACTAATATATTCTGAAGTCTAACACTTGGTACAGAAATCTCTGCTAGGGACAGTCTTGTCAATCCAACTTAAATCCTTCCAATAAAACATAAGAGACTTAATATCTACCTCTTTAAAAGTTATGTTCAAAACTCTTTAAAAATTGGGACCAGCAAACATTAGAGATAACTGTGACTGGGGATTTCTATTGGTTCATTTTGATAAAAATCAGAGCAGAAGACCACTTTAGAATTTTCTTCTTTTTTTTTTCAACAAATACACAACAATTACTTTCATTTTCCAGCTACATTCCTCAACAAGACTGTTTACACTATGCAAGCAAAGATCATCAGTTTTCTTTTGTTAATCCATCTGACAGCTGTCCTTGTTCTCTCCCAGGTTGGTAAAGCCATTTTTCTTTCATCATCTTCAGTCTTGTTAGTGGTCATCTGTGAAAGGTATCCCCTCCTCCTCCTCAACTTTGGCAGGTCTAGGCTGAATTTCTTCTCCTTTGCTTCAAGAGGATTTAAACTCGCCTGAAACTAGCACACCAGAACCAAAAAAGCTTTAGCAGTGACACTGTCAAGCCCAGGGGTCTCCACCTTGGCAACTTTAAGATTTGTGGACTTCAACTCCCAGAGCTTTGCTAGCTGAGGAATTCTGGGAGTTGAAGTCCACAAGTCTTAAAGTTGCCAAGGTTGGAAACCCCTGGTCTAACCCATGTTAGGTTTATCAGACATCCATGTGTTTTCCTAAAACCAAAAGCCAATTTTCAACAGCCAGAGCTGTCTTCCATCATCTTAGATGCTGGTCATTACACATCTCCCTTAAGTTTTCTCCAAGATCTCTTTCCCAGAGCATCTGATGAGTTTTAATCTTTCACTTCTAATGTCAGCAGAATAGTTTTCTTTGGAAATCTTTTCTATAGGAAATTAAACCATCCCTATTCTTATCTAATAGCTAGAAGAGGCACTTGGTTGATTTTTATGTAGATATGTAAATAGCCAGCAGGAAACCAGGGCTGAATGCAAACTATTATAATAACCAAGTACGAAAAACAAGTGGAGCAACTTTTATTCACTGGAGAGCCACTGAGGTGCTACCTCAGCATATGTCTATGGAAATTCTCAGTCATGCAGATCATGGTTGCCCCAAAGGTGCTTTTCAAAAGACAACTGGACTTCGTTTTTTTCTTGAAGATGTTTCACTTCTCATCCAAGTAGCTTCTTCAGGTCTGACTGAATGGTGGGGATTGGAAGGATTTATATTCTTTGCAATCATATGATAAATCCTTCCATTCCCCACTATTCAATAAGAACTGAAAAAGCTTCTTGGATGACAAGCAAAATGTCTTCAAAGAAAAAACAAAGTCCAGTTGTCTTTTGGGACTACCTCAGCATATCATCTGAGTTGAAAGTATACAATTGAAACTACATCTCCCATAAGATCTAGGCAACATGGCCCACAATTGTTGATTACAGAAGATATAGTTTGAACATTTGGGAGACCCAAGGTTTCTCCATCTCTTCTACATGTCAACAAATCTGTTTCTATCTAAAATAAATAACCTGAATTGGGAAAACTCTTTCTACATTTCTCAACATAAAACTATGACAAAGTTGTACAAATGCACCAAAAAACAATCAAACTATTCGGGGAAGAGTTAATTTTGAGGGAAAATAGTAGGCAAAAAGAAGTTTCCAATCCCTTCTTCCAATATTATGTATACATTAAATCTCATGAATTCAGGTAATCATTACTTAATCTCCATTCATTCAGTGATTTTGAAATTATGATGGTGCTGTATGAAGTTCCAGCTGTTGCAGCACCCCTGCAGTTATGTGAACAAAATTCAGGCACTTGGCAACCAGCTCGCACTTACGACTGATCACATCATCTTCACAGTCCTAATTTTAAAGTCCTGCTATTTCCTGCTTAATAACCTACGGGCAACAAGAGCAACTGGGACTACCTGGATTGATGTTGCTAAGCAATGTTGCACATTAAGACCACATCACTTAGTGATGGCAATCCCAGTCCCAATTGTCATAGTAACTTCACACTACCTGCGTAAGAGTCTGAAGGGAATAAGCAGCCTGGGTATTGCAGTGAAAAGAAGATGGAAAAAGAAAACGAAAGCATTTCCTTGAACTTTCCTATGCAAAATTGCCAGTTTGTGACAACTGCACTTTTGTCCCTATGGACAAAAGGACATGAAATCAAACAGAAATAAATACTTTTTAAAAAAAAGACTGTCAGGGATGTGGTCATATTTGCATATGTCATTTGACACTTTGAAAGCTCACGAGTCTAAAGATTGCAACTACTTAATATTCCAGAAAGATTTTCTTTCTTCTCCCAAAAGATGCTACCTCTATCAGATGTGACCGCAACGGGTTGTGAGGAAAGAATCAGTTTTGTAAAGATGCCCTACCCAATAATACTGACTGCTTCATGGAGCTCAGAGTCAGTGAGCATGAAAAAGGATATTGGTTCCCATAGGTCATCGCTGGCTATGATCTGCACTCGCTGAAGGTCTTGCTTATCCAAAGCGTACCTTAAAATCTTTTAAAATAAAGAGACAAGTAAAGTAGCATTTTACTCATTTTTATTTATTTATGTATTAAATTTGTATGCCACCCATATCTCTGCCAAGCAACATTTTTCCCATCAGTTGTAAGAAATAAATATTTAAAAAGCCAAAATGTGCAATTTATTTTGCTGATGTCTAGCAACAAAACACGTATCTCTCTATGACAAGTGCATAAATGTGAATAGCAGTAGCACTTAGACTTATATACCGCTTAACAATGCTTTATGGCCCTCTCTAAGTGGTTTACAGAGTCAGCCTATTGCCCCCAACAATCTGGGTCCTCATTTTACCGACCTCAGAAAGATGGAAAGCTGAGTCAACCTTGAGCCAGTGAGACTCAAACTCAAGACTCGAGCAGAATTAGTCTCGAGCAGAATTAGCCTTCTATACTGCATTCTAACCACTGCACCACCAGAGCTCTTGAAGTAAACGCAACCATTTGTCTGCCAAAGCAGACAAATGCTGGTGGCTCAGCAGACTGATAGTATTGTGATTAACACCAGCTGTCTGCAATTACTGTAAGTTCGAATCTCACCAGGCTCAAGGTTGACTCAGCCTTCCATCCTTTCTAAGGTAGATAAATTGAGGACCCAGTTTGTGGGGGCAATAAAGCTGACTTTGTGTAAATATACAAAAGTACGAAAGCTATTGCTTAACGCATTGTAAGCCGCCCTGAGTCTCCAGAGAAGGGCGGCATATAAATCAATTTTTTTTTAAAAAGGGGGGGGGAGAAATAGAGCAAGATGCCACTCTCTTCAGTAAATTGCTTCATTTCTAAAAGTTTTAAATGGACAAAGTTCATAATAGTTGCTTTGTATAGTGAGATGGATGGCATATAAATTAATTAAATAAATAAGAAACCTCCATGGACAGGCTGGGGAAACAAAGAGGCAAGCCTCATTCTCCAAACAAAGATATATATCTCCTGCAGCAAAATTCTAAAAGTCTTTTGTAGGCAGACACCTGTCATTTCAGATGCCAGAATAAGAACACGTCGAAGAATAAACAAATCAGGACAAAATCCAATGTCTGCTCACACCACAGAATGTTCTCCCCCTTCCTCCCCACTGTGGTCCGCCTGCCCCAATTTACCCCAGAAGTTTCTTCCAGCCCAGAGAACAGATGTCTATGGAGATTCTCATTTATCCAGGTCACAGTGGTCTCAAAGGTGGTTTTCATGAGGCAACTGGACTTTGTTGTTTTTCTTTGAAGACATTTTCCTTCTCATCCAAGAAGCTTCTTCAGACATCATCCAATCAGAGCTGAAGAAGCTTCTTGGATAAGAAGCAAAACGTTTTCAAAGAAAAACAACAAAGTCCAGTTGCCTCCTGAAAAAGCACCTTTGGACCAGAGAACAGATGGTAATGATGCACAGGGTGGAGGATGGAGACAGAGGAAGAGAAAATAATTTCTCTCTTCCACTGATGGAAGTACTCTAGCGTTGTCAATGAAACAATTTCCCCACCCATATTTAGCTAACAGTGTAACAACATCTTCAGTGAAATTGAATTTCAGATTACGAAAGAAATATCAATAAAAACTCACAGAGCACTCTTGCACACTTATTGACTGAAGACCATTAACCAACTTTGAATAGCCAATTCTCTGCAAAGCTATCAGATGACACCCAGAATAAAGCTCAAGACTTGAGATTATCTACAGGATTGCAATTTGAGCCAAATTTATAACGTGCATATAGACTATGACAAATGAATTGGAGACTTGATAAACACTGAAATACTGGAATCAAATAAGATACTGTAAAGATCAAGAAAAGGTATGCAACACTCTAAAAAACAGAACAGCTAAGATAACAGGGGAATAGGGGAATTCTAGAAAGTTTTTATACCCTACTGCATTTTGTAACTTTTAGAAAAGAAAATGTTTTCTAAATGGGGAGAAATATTTTTTCTACATAGTAAAATGATGCTATAAATCCAATCATTTATTTACGAAAAGTGACATTTTAAGATTTGATAAGATTTTCAATACGTGTGTGTGTGTGTGTGTGTGTGTGTGTGTGTGTGTGTGTGAGAGAGAGAGAGAGAGAGAGAGAGAGAGAGAGAGAGAGAGAGAGAGAGAGAGAGAGAGAGAGAGAGGGAGAGAAATTATGTCTTCATTTCATCTTATGTGTTAAACAATTTTCTTTCTATGTTAGTAGTAACATGATATTGCACACCTAGTGCATAGGTTCAGGATAATGCTGGATTTGAACTCTACAATAACCTTATTCTCATTTTATACAGTACCTCAGTATTAAGTAATGACAAGCTTGATGGTAAAAATTCAGCTATCAATGAGTTTTTGCTTACTTATTTCAGTGTTATTATTTTGAAGTTCTAAAGTGATGCTGCAACTGAGATTCAGCCATTTCTTCTTAGATATACATAATCAGTAGCAAATGGTGGTTTGATGAGAGCCAAGCAGTTATTTAGGGTACCAATTTTAACTTTTCTCAACTGCAGTATCATCAGAGGGCCGTATATTTGGGGGGGATCAGAAGAAAGACAGGCACCCTGCCATTTATAAGTGATGACACCTGCCCCTTGAATAGCGGGGGACAACTGTCAGCCAGAATAATTGTTAACAGTCGTAAATGGCAATGATAGCAATGACACTTGGGAGTTTGATCACGAGAGAGGTGGTATCAGCTTCAGAAGCACTCTCATATCCAAAGTTTCTAAGTTTCTATTTCTATTCTTAAGAAACAATAGAAAATCAAACTGCAAAGCTTAGGTTCCACAACAATCTTCAGCCTTACTATAAATGCATAAGTATAAACTTTCATTTATAAATTTTCAAATTTTCAGGTATAAATTTTGTGGTTATTATTTAATAAAGTGCCATCATTTCTCATAAAAATCATTTTTAATAGAAATCAAACACTGTTCCATTTTTAATGTCTTAAAATTTATCCACTGAAATGGCCCTTTGAGTGCATACAACTATTCTCTAATGGTTTAGCTTAGTCAATGAGTTAATTAATGCAGCACATCTACACAACGTATTAGATAGCCATAAAATCAAAGCACTGAGAATATAGAGAATAAGATTAGATGATACAGTTTAGTAAATCAGACATGAAAATTATCACTGATAATCTCCAGGTAGTGTGTTCACTTTGGAAAGGTGACATTTAAAAGCATAATGTACAACACAGTCCTGCATCTCTGGCAGGGTGGATAAAATAGATGTTTTTTTTTTTAATTAAAAATCAGATTTTTAAAATTTAAATCATATTTTTTTATTTAAATCATATTTTTTATTTATTTTAATAAAATGCTTTTGGAGTAAACAATCTATCTAAAGATAGTTTTCTGTTTAAGATGCATTAATAATTTAGTTTATTCAGCATGAAATGGAGCTTAGCTATGTAGCATGAGGTTGTATATTCTGCAATATGTACATTTTGGGTAAACTCATTCAATGAATCCAAGCTCTGCAAGCAGAGGTAATATGCACTCTAAATAGGAAAGCTTCATTTTGTTTGCAAATAATAATATTAAAGATTTTAACTACCAGCAATAATGAGTTTAAAGAGCACCTGTCATTTCAGATCTATCATGGCAGCCCTGTTAGCAGGCATCCACTCACTTGCAGCCCGCCACATCCCTCACCTTGTTGTGTCACTGCCGCATCACCAGTCATCCCATTAAAGTGAATGGGACTGTCGGTGAATCAACAGCGGGCCAGAGGAGGAGCCGCTGCGGGACAGAGATGATAGTTGCTCTTTAAAAGTTATGATTTAAATTGAGTTGATTTAAATCAAATCCACCCTGATCTCTGGCATTCAAAGCAACTATGATACAGATCAAAAAGCAAAATGAATATATTAAAAATACCAACACAATAGACTAAAACATAAAACAAAACAAAACAAAATGGGACATTTTCCCAAGAAGTGTATTCTTAAGCTACGGTAAGACCGCCATCATGAAAAGGTCCAAGCAATCACAAGAAACTTCCTCAGAGTTCCTATTCTCTTCTATTGGTTCCTTAATAAGATAGTCAATAGTGTTTTAACGTTCCACACAATCCTATATATATACAAGTATATTAACAACTCTTAGACTTTATGCCACCAATTTTCAAAATTTCCCCTAAAGATCAACACATAGTGAAGGTACTGAGAATTCCCTATTGATATGAAGCCTTAGGTTCTTATGGTACCCATAGGAAAGGAAGTTACTATTTAAGAAACATCCATGGAATATACTATATAAAACAAAAGTCACATAGTTACAGAAGATAGCAGAACGATGTTGGTATCCTATTAAGCTACAACAAATACCGTAGTCAGCTGGAAGTAAAACTAGTATCAGGTGCAGGACTGGAAACAAATGATACTGCAGCCCATGCATAAGAAAAGCAGGATAACCAAGCTTGTGTCCAAATTCTAATTAATACAAAGCTTTATATATATAATAGAGGAATAACTGTTCCTCTGTATTTCCACACTTACCCTACTATCTCAACCGCGTCATATAGATAAGGATCGACTAGCATGTGATTGGCAATGTTCCAAGTTCCATCCGCAGCAATGATGCCAAGGGTGTTTAAACCCACTCTGTCCAAAGTTTTGCGAAGTACCTTGTTAACAGATAATATTACTTGAAGAATAATTTTCACCAACTAAGGAACATGACATTAGCTTAAAGGAACAAATAAGGACAAGGTAATCGAGTTCTGAAACGAATTGTTAAAAAGCTAAAATAATATATGTTGTTGGCTTGCCTAGATTTCATAGTCCTTACTAGGAACTGTGCACTTTTTGGTGATAATCAGTTAATAAGAAACGTTACTTGTATAAGATTGGCTACTTAATACACAAATCACGGCTAAACAAAGAGGCAGTGATTCAAAACACATCTGAAGAAATTTAGGTGGCACATGAGACTGAAACCTTACTGATCTACTCCCCCAAATCTATTTTATAAGTAATCAACAGGGGGGGAAAGTATGCATTATATGCACTACTTCAAAGGGTATTCAGATGGCATCAATACCAATGCCACCTAACCAGAGCCCATTCTTATTTCAGAATTTGAGCACTGACCATTTAATATGAATTTAATACCTAACCTGGCTATTAAGAAGCACATGTTGAACTCAAGAATTTGAGAATTCTTTTAAGTATCTTGTTTTAAATTAAAAGATAAATTAAATTACTATCAGTGTTCTACACAGACATTCCCCAGAAATATTAAACCTTATTTTACTTACTATCTAATAAATTCCCATTTTAAGAAAGACAGTGCTTTTTCATAGACTGTATAAACTAGAACAAGTGATGATTGCTAAGAGGTTAATCTGCCTGAACAAAAAAAGCCTTGTTCCAAATCACTGTTGGACAGCAACCATCCCAGTTGGGAGGAGGGCTCAGGCACGGAATTAAGTCTGTTCCTTGGCTACATCTCCAAATGTACAGAGCCAGGAAGATGACCTTGAGAGAGATACACTAGATCCATTACTAAAGCAACAAGGAGAAATACATGGCTTAAATTTAAAACAGAAATACAGAAAGGCAGAAATACAGGTAGCAATAGCACTTATATACCGCTTTACAGTGCTCTACATCCCTCTCTAAGCGGTTTACAGAGTCTTACTATTGCCCCCAACAATCTGGGTCCTCATTTTACCAACCTCAGAAGGATGGAAGCCTGAGTCAACCTTGAGCCTGGTGAGATTTGAACTGCCAAATTGCAGGCAGCCAGCAGTCAGCAGAAGTAGCCTGCAGTACTGCACTCTAACCACTGCACCACCACAGGTAGTCCTCACTTACCAACTACAATGGGCAAATTAGCCACTGGCAGCTGTTACAAAGCAGAGCAGTTGTTAACCACAATGTCATGTGACGGCACCAAATTACAATGTCAGTGTTGGCTGCAGTCAATATGTGGATCACCACAGGTTGTAAAATGTAATGTCATATGACGGTAACTTGTGACTTCCTTCTAGCTTCCCCATTGACTTTGCATGTTGGAAGCTGGCTGTGAAGGCCACAAATGATGATCGTGTAACTTAGGAACATCATAAAATGCATTCTGGTTGCCAAACAGCTGAATTGGGACTGCAGGGATGCTGTAATGCCCACAACTTTAAGGACCAGTAACGTCTCGTTTTTCTGTACCCTTGCAAATTTGAACATCATTGAATAATGATCAGGAAGCAAGGACTAGCTCTAGGTATAAGTGGCTCAGATACACACCTCCATAATTCACATAGAAATTCACAAGGGAGGAGGCACAGCCCAATCACAATTACAAGATTTTGTTATTATAGTTTTTTTTCTCAATAAAATTAGACCACCTTCCTGTACAGTTGAAGCTTGGTCTGATCTACTTGGTGGGGTTACATCAGTATCCAGAATCTATCAAAATATCTTCTTCTTTTTTTGATCCATGTGCAAAATTGTAAAGATCCTATCATATATAACATTGAAAGGATAAATTTGTTATTTGTAAAAATAATAAAGTTGGGATATAAATAAATACATGAATTACTGAAGTGGGCTATTGATATATGTTATTTATTTTCCTATGACAAACAAAGCTTTTTTTAAAAAAATGAAATTGAGATAATTTGGGGATAATTTGTTTTATCTATGGCACAAATGTCCAGGGTCCCCCGTAGCCACAGCTGCCAACTGCTCCACAAGCATAAATCCAGGAGGACCGGCCCAGACTGTGAATCAACTCTGTCCAGGGAATAGAAAACTTGTAGTGAAGGTTAGAACTGTGAGTTGACTGACAAGCACCTGGATTGTGATCCTATTACCAAGGGGACTGTGTGCCAGCCAGAACTTTGAGGACTGGTCATAAGTACCACTCATCTTCACCACTCTAACTTCAAGTTGCAGCTGAGCAAGTGGGCAATAAGTGAGGACTAGCTGTATATAGAAATATAACTAAAGTTGCAAATTTACATCAAAGCCACCTGCTCTAAAATAAAAGAAGAAAGAAGAATTTATTGTCAATTGTAGATGTACCTGTGGTGGGTCCTACAAGAAGTTTTTTTAAACCTGAGGTTCATATGAGCTCATGAAAGAAACATTTACATCACAACGAGCACCTTAAATTGCATTCGTAAAACAAACGGCAACTAGTATAGCTTGTTCAACATAGGTGACCTATGAAATACCATTGTACACACCTGCTGCCACATTCTGGGCCAGCTGCAATTTAAATTACTAAAAAATTAAACAGCAAATCTTTCCCACACATTTCAACTCACAGAGATCTCCCCTTAGGAATTAGGCAAGTGCCTATAGCCTTCAGGTATCAAATATTCATCTCTTTTACACATTCCATAGCCTTCCTTACATTTTAAATCAAAAGTAAACCTTATCTAAATTAGCCAAAACTTGATGAACCCTAGCAAGTTAGATATGTACGCTAAACTGTATATTTTCAAAAGCAAATAATGAACTCCATAATAGAAACTAACAGACATATTTAAATGTATAAGTGTTGTATCTAATCAAAGTAGGAAATACTTTTTTAAAACCTAATCATTTTTTCTAGATTAAGTTCTGCAACATCCTTCAAGCTAAGAAATCAATTAAGTAATACATGAATATTATAAAGAAATAAGTATTCTTTTTTAGATTCTAGATACTGTATCTACATTCTATATAAAAGTTCCTAGATTAATCAATCACTAAAGGCCCGAGCTCTATCCATGGCTAAGAATGCTTAATGTCAACTTGGATAATATACCACCTAGATCAGGGTTGTCAAACTCCCGGCCCGTGGGCCGAATGCATCACACATTGGCCACGCCCACTCCCAGTTTAGCAAAGGGGGGAAAAGTCCCGATATGTCACGTGATGCTGCCATGACGACATGAGTTTGACACCCCAGACCTAGATGCTTTTTCTGGAGAGGGACAACCCAGCTACAATTGTTTATGGATGCATAGCCTCATCCATAGATCATTCCAAAGTATTCAGTATAAAACTGTTCTTATACTTGGTCCACAAACTGCAGCTGTATGGTGGGAGCAACTAAGATAGGTTAGTTCCTGCACTGGTTGCTAGTTAGCTACTAAGCCCAGATCATGTTTCTAGCTATGGTAGTCAAGATCCTAAACACCTTGGAATCAGAATAGTACCTTTTGAGCCAGTAGGATAATGAGCAGACACTAACCAGTAAAGGCCCCCAAATTGAGAATATTTCAGCTCAAATGTCACACAAAATGAACAGCATTACATTTTACTTTCCAGTCAGTATTATATGGATAGCACAAAATGGCTCAGATGTTATTAGTGAATAGGAGAGCATGCAAATGTAAAGCAACTAGGCAACAAAGGCAAGCATATTTTCAGTACACATCAAGTCATGCAAATGGTTAGTTGTTTACCTGAAGTAACGTAACCCCACATTCTTGCTCTGCTGCATAATTTTGTTCCATGTTAAAGCAAGAACAAGACTCCTATTTGGTTAAATAAGTGAAGGATAGTTGTTGACATACCTTGATATATGTACTGTTAAAAGGTCGTTCATTCCAAATCTTCAAGGAAAAAAAAGGAACAAAGTTTAAAAGTGTTATAATGTTGCTTAAAAACTAGTAATAAAATCTAACTGCCAGCAAGACTAGAACAGGAATTACAAGAAAATTCCACTAAATCCAGTGGAACCCCGAAGCACAATAACTTGAATTGGAACCCTAACAATTAGGAATGAAACATAAATGGAACAATTGAATATCTCAGCCACAGTGTTTCTTTAAAGTCTGCATGACTAGGTCAGTGTTTCTCAACACTGACAACTTTAAGTGAACTTTTAACTCCCAGAATTCCTTAGACAGCATCTTGCTTGGGAATGCTTAGAGTTAAAATCCCTACTTTTTAAGGTCACCAAGGTCAGACAATACTTCCCTAGGTCATTCACAACACATTAAAAAATATGTACTCTTTTAAGTTTAGCACTGAAGCCCTGTTCCAGTGAGACAAGGTCTTTGTATCAAGAATATTCTGCCAGTGAAGATCCTCTGTATCTTTGTGTAACATGTCTTTGTACTATTTTCCAAAATATAAATAACTACACTAAAGCATGCCAAGTCACTTATTTCTTAGAAAATAATTGATATTGCTTCATTATTATTGGATCTTTCTTAAATACTGATTTTTAAATGTTATATATATTCTTCTCTGGGATGTAACTTTGTTCTCAAATCAAAAACTCAATCTTAAAATAAAAATCAAAACTGTCTGTTACCATAGACACTCATGCTGCATCATCTCTGACCTTGCTGAAGTCTTAAAAGCAAGGACACATTGTCTACAAAAATGTCAAATTAAATTCTACATTAAAGTCTCTAACATATTGTCTAGCTACAAAGAAAACTCCTGTGAGCGACTATAATCTTGCAATTTATTTTATCATTTATGATGGGGAAATAATTAGTGGATAGCCTCCTAGGCTATTATATATCCAGAGGCACCTTTCTTTAATTCAAAGATTAATTTTCAGATATTACACAAAATCCAAGTTTAGCATATAATGAACAAATTTAGACTAGTTTCAAGCTTATGCCATGTATCTATATACTGTATGTATGTATGTATGTATGTATGTATGTATGTATGTATGTATGTTTTTACAGGACTAATATCGCCACCTATCTCATGCAATTACTCTAGGCCGCTCACAACAATCCATGAAACCTAACTTAAAAACAAAGAATATCCCAATAAAGGAAAATATTTGTAGCTGAGGGTTGACATGAGGGGTCCTTGGTGCTCTCTAAGCTTGCTTGATTTCTTGCAGACATTCCATTACCTAAACTAGGTAATATCATCAGTGATAGTTTGGGTAATAAAATGTGTGCAAGAAACAAGCAAGCTCAGAGAGCATCAAGGACCCCTCAAAGAACACCCTTCTCCTCAGGTGCCAGACCAAACATTCTCCCAGCTCAACCCCAACCTAGCCCAAGCTTAGAGGAAGAGCCAGGTCTTCATGGCCTTCGGGAACAATAAGTCATTGGAACATCTTGCCTTCAGAAGTTGTAGGATGCTTCATCACTGGAAGTTTTTAAGAAAAGAATGAACAGTCACCTATCTGAAATGGTCTAGGGTCTCGGGGTTTGGACTAGAACAGCGGTCACCAACTGGTGGTCTGTGGACCACTGGTGGTCCGCATGAAAATTTTGATGGTCCGCAGAAAAATTATTTGCATTTTTAATATTGCACTAAATTAGGGGTCCTCAAACTATGGCCCCTGAGCCAGATACGTGTAATAAATGTTTGTGTTGCTGCAGAGAGTCTCCCCCTTTGGGGTCTTCTTGTGTGGGTTGGAGGGGGGAAGAAATTCCAACTTGAAGTCTGCTTCAGCCTCCTGCTGCTGAGCTTTGGGCGAAGGCTGGAGGAAAGTGCTGCTGGTGGCAAAGAGCCGGAGGGCTTCGTTCCAGTGGGACTGCATCATGGCCTTGAACCAGCTGATCATCTCAGCCCGCTGAGCCTCCAGCACCTGCCTTGCACTGCCGCAGTCTTCCCTCTGCTTGGAAAGCCTATGCTTGTAATCCTGAGTGAGGTGCTTCTGCTGAGCCTCCTTCTCGGTCAGATCCAATGTGAATTGAGCTGTTTTGCCAATTCTTTCTTGTGGTGGCTGCTTAGCTCCAACAACTATTTCCTGTTGGGGCCCTAAGGAGCCTGGGCGGGCAGGCGAGGAGTGGATGGGTGGGGAGGGGCAAGTAGAGGCCGGCGAGGTGCCCCTCGACGCGAGTGTCATTGAGTTGGCCATGCCCACCCAGTCACATGCCCATCCAGCTGGTCATTAGGTAGATCATATTAGTGGTCTGCAGGATTTTAAATTATGAATTTAGTGGTCCCTGAGGTCCAAAAGGTTGGGGACCTCTGGACTAGAAGACCTCCAAAGTCCCTTCCAGCTCTATTCTGATTGATTGAAGGCTGAAAGGGTAGCGATCCCTTGAATCTAGATGGAAGGCTACTCTAGAGGGCTGGGGTGAAGGTCCCATCATGTGAAAATATTTAAGGGAGGGGATCTTGTGTGCGCCCATCTTATCTAACCTATTAGGATGCCCAAATACTGTACCATGGTTTTAACAGACGGACATGGATTATCTGGCCATCTCCACTTGAAGAAATTATATGTTTTAAATCCAGTATCTATGTAGACTAATTAAAAAACCCAGAATTGCTTCAGATAATGAGGTGGGCAGAATATAAATTTAATAATGAACAAACAAATAAGCATTTGTGAAATTTTTAAAAAGCTACTTTGAATCAATCAATTGCATTCTACATTCTAAGCATTCAAGAAAGAACATGACTTACTGGCATGCAGATTCTTTCCTGCAATCAGTCCAAAGTAAGCTAAATTATTTTGTTACTTATGGATGAAATGCATGTTAGTGTAAGTCCAAATTCACTTTACTAGTTCAATTGCCTTTTATATTAACTTTTATTTTACTACCCCAATTATGTCTTTTGACTGAATCGCCCACAAATAAATTGCTTAATGCAGAAAGAAGGGGATTAAAAAAAAACACTTGGTAAACATACCTACATTATAAGCCATATGGTACAAGTTGTATTTAATTTTTAACAAAAAACAGAATGTAACGAAAAACTCCTCTACTAACCCCAATGTAGTCAATGTCCAAATCATGATATTTTTTAGCTCCTATAATCCAGGAGATGATATAATATGCAGTGACATCCGGGTAGGCATAAGGCCAACTCATACCCCTCCCAATCCATCCTGGAAAAGCCCAGGGCAAGCCTGCAAGGGAACGCATAAAAAACATAAACAACACAAAGGAAATTGCTTAACACATCAATTTCACAGAGCTAAAATGTTTTTTTTTAATGTTGATAATGTGGGGTGAAAAGTACTAAATGGTCAGGGTTATTGTAGAAAGAAATTAATTTGTTCACATGTTCTAGGACCCCTACAATAGTCACTAGATTCTACACATTTTTTACTTTCTTTTTCTACAATGCTAGTGTTATAGTTTGCATTATTAATAACAGGGTAATTCACTGAAATGGGAAGAATGAGCGGTAAAAATAACTGCTAGCAAGCACTGGATGAAATAATTAACAGAATTAAGAACAAGCTGATAAATAGGAGTGTGTTTTTCCGAAACCTCAGAGCCCTGATTACGTTTGTTGAAAACTGTCACATTGTGCTTATGAAAACTGCTTCATAAAAAGGCACGTTATTGTTTTAAACATTACCTCTGCCTTTATTTATAAAAGCCCTGAAAACCATTGTTTCTCCCAGGTCATGTGATAATTTGAATGGCGGGATCCTTTAGAGAGGTCTTGTCTACATGGGAACATTTTGATTCTTCTGTATCACTATCATTTTCTGTTAATTGTTGCCTTTTGTCTTTTTTTTTTTTCAATATTGTGAACTGTTCAGAGTAATTTTTGAATTGGGAAGCCTTATAAATTCTACAGACAAACAAACATGACATATGTAATAAGGCCCCACCTACTTTGTGGTTCCTCATTCCTCTCATATGCCCCTTGGCCAATGAGTTGATTAGAAGTCAGGGAAATGAAGATGAGCTAGAAACAGAGAAAGAATGAGAGGGGTCAGCTGGCAGGCAACATGCCTGAAAAGTGGGAATCAGACACATAGAAGTAATAAGCAAAAGACTGGTGATGAAAACAGTTGATTTAAGAAAAGAATCAGTGGATGGCAAATGGATGCATAGAATGTCATCCATTTGCCAGCAGAATAGGTACTGCTAATAAGTCTTGCTTGAGAGATAGAGGATCTTTCTGAGTAAATCAGAGGGAAATGCAAGAGGATAGGGAGGATATGAACAGAAAGCACAACAGCAGTAATAAAAGTTAATTCAGTTGATGCCGGATGTAATTCAATGATGAAGTTATTAAAAATATTTTTCTTTGTTAGATGATTACTTGTTGTGGGTAGACAATTTTAATTTCCTGGATTCCAAGCTAAGTGTATTTAAGACTGGCATATCTATGTACGTATATTATTTCTTCATTTTTTATTATTTCAGGACTTCTTCCCATTTTTATATATTATAGTGTTTTCCAAAAAAGCTTCTGTGTGTATGGGTTATACAAGGAGTGCTTTTTTAATGGCCATTTGTTCAGTAGGTGTTCAAAATTACGGCAGTGCTGAACGAATGGTCCTCGAAGTTACATTCATTGCACCGGCCCACAGTCATGTGACCAAAAATGGACACCTGGCAGTTCACCCACATTTAGGATCACAGGGTGCACCTCAACTCCCTCCCCACCTAATTTTCCTCCACTGGCCTTTCGGCCACTTGTACTCCAGTGCCCCTCCACCAGGCACACCTCATAAGCAGCAGGAGGAAGAAAATGGCGAGGGGCAGCTGGGATGGAAGGTGCTGAAGAGGAGCTAGGTGATATATAAGCAAGATGGTGGGGACAGCACAGCAATGGAGGGCACAGTGGCTGGACAACAGGGATGGTGGAGTGCAAGGCAGCAAAGTGCAGGACAGTCAAAAGGGCAGAAATGGGGGAAGATGGGCGAGTGTGGGGAGCTGAAGTGCTCTATGAAATTATTTGGGCTGCCGAGCACACAAATTTTAGTCACATGACAGCGGGGTGGCGCAACTGCCATAATTTCAAGGACTGGATGTAAGTACCATTTTTTTAGTGCCTTCGTAATTGAAGTTTGCTGAACAAATGGTTCTTAAACAAGGATTAGCACCCCAAATTAGTTTGTTCTCACATACTATCAACTGCATTAATCGCATTTACCTGAAAAGCAGACCATTTTTATTTTTAATACTACTACTTTCACAATGCAAATTTAAATTTAAAAAAAAAATACTTTAGGAGAGATAACAATAAATGTAATTAAAGGAGTATTGTTACTAACAAAAGCACTTTTTTTCCAGGCTCCTCCACAATCTTGAAAAAGAGATGGTGCTTTTAAGGAAAGTAAATCCTAAAGCAACAATATATTTATTTAAGCTTTCCCAGAAGGCGGAAAAAAGACTTGGTTGCTTTAAAACAACAAGGAACAAAAGCAGTGTGCGAAGTTTCAAGCACTTCACAATCTTTTTCAAAGCACACAGAGCTCTAATAACTACTTCAACATTAGGGTCATTCAACATTTAGGGTCCTTTTGCATTGTTAAAAGAAAATTGTTCTTCTCCCAAATCATTTGGAAGGAGCAGCATCTTCAGGCAGGGGAGCCTAAGGGAATCAAAGGAAGATTGTGATTTCATGATACCAGCCTAACCAGTGGTGGTATTCAAATTTTTTTGTTACCAGTTCTGTGGGTGTGGCTTGGTGGGTGTGACAGGAGAAGGATACTGTAAAATCCCCATTTCCTCCCCACCCCACTAACCTGCTTTCCAGCTCTGTTCTCCTGTGCAGGGCAACAAAAGAAGACCCAGCCAATCAGCTGGGACTCTGATCAGCTGGGACTCCGGAGGCAGCAAATAAATGCTGCTACTTCCAAATGATTTGGGGGAAGAGCAATTCTCTTTTAACAATGCAAAAGGACCCTAATGCTGAATGACCTTGTTGTTTTAAAGTAACCAAGTCTTTTTTCCGCCTTCTGGGAAAGCTTAAATAAATATATTGTTGCTTTAGGATACAACCAGAGACGGTATTTTTCGGTTCTCCAAACTACTCAAAATTTCTGCTACCGATTCTCCAGAACTGTCAGAACTGGCTGACAGTTCTAAGCCTAACTATGTGTATTTTCTATGTGCATTATGACAAACATACATGTGAAATTGTGACAGGGTTTGCCACAGTGCTGCTTTCAGTATTTTCACGAATGCAGCAAGACCTTGGAAGCACAATTATCACTGATTCCAGCGCTAATAAATTTTTATTTTATTAATTGTATTTATTATTAACTTTTTATGCCCATCTCCCCTTAAAGGGAAGCCTAGTGCTATTGCAGAGGAAGAAGTAGATGGTGTTATTCATCTAGGATGATAATAAAATAATAAAAAGTATTCAAAATTCAATCCACTACAGCACACTTAGGAATTACTCCCAGAAAACAGGCTCAGACTACACTTTTCAGCGTTGTAGATTTACTTAATTAACAATCCTTCTGGTATTATCCATCAGCAAATATCTCTTTAAAAAAGTACAGACTCCTTCATTCTAAGCTTTACAATGACTGGGGAGAGATCTGATCAGAGGCAAATTCCAATCTGATGCAATAGGATTGATTCCCTAGAAAGCATATTCTGGCTTACTGCCTTCTCCAATTACTTGTTTTGAGCTGGAAGGGATAAGTGATGAGTAATGAGCCAAGCTTGGCTCTACTGTGTCAGTGGACAGAGCCACAATGCTCAAGGAGATATCAGAGGCAGGCTGAAGTATGTAGGCCAAACAGAAGAACCACAACTGAAGCAAGTCCTTACAGGTAGTCCTTGTTTAACAACCCTGTTTGGGACCAGAATTTTTGCTGCTAAACAATGCAGTTGTTAGGGGAAACATCACATGACTGCACTGCTTAATAGTTTCAGTAGCCCCAGTTGTACTTGTTAAGCCAGTACCATGCCACTGTAGGACCTCAGGCTTCTTCTTCCCTGCTGGGCTTGCCTCCACTTCAACTTTCCCATTCACCTATCTTCTCTATTTTTGCTCTTTAGGCCACCCTGCACTCAGTCACTATCTATGCCAAGATTGCAGGTGTCTTAGAAACCTTGCAAGATCTCAGGAGGGCTACACATGACATCAAAAGATGATGTCATGCTGCGGCAGCAGTCCCTGGCAAGGGAGGAAGAAGGCAGAAAAGTTCAGCTGAGGCAACAAGAATGGTGGAGCAAAGGTCAGCAAAGGCAGTGAAGCAAATGCTGCAGAACAGCAGGGGCAATGATTGCAGGGTGGCAAGAGTGATGGAGCCTAGGGCGATCAAAAGAAAGAGGGGAAGAAAGATGGAATGCATCTCATGATCATAAATGCAGGTGGGAGGCCAAGTGCCTGAATGTTGACCACATGACCAAGAGGGCACTGCAATGGCCATGACTTCAAAAGCCAGACATAAGTATCATTCATTCAGTCTCATAATTCTGAATATGTTAAGAATATGTTTAACCTCATTAAGCAAAGACTACCTGTATTATTATATACAAAGCAACACAAAGCTAGACTTTTTGCTAGGAAACCAGTAAACACATGCAGTCCATGAATGTCAAGAAACATTGTGTATGGCAGGGGTCAGCAACCCGCGGCTCTGGAGCCACATGTGGCTGTTTCATCTCTCTGCTACGGCTCCCTGTCACCGGTCAGTTCCACAATTGATAGGGCTTTCAGTTAGGACCCGTAGAGGAAAAAAATGACACCTCGCTAGGAGGAGACTCTGTGGTGGGGGAACCGAACTTCCGGTTAGCTCCAGAATTGAGTGGGGGGCTTCCGGTTAGGACCTTTGTGGCTCTTTGAGTGTTTAAGGTTGTCGATCCCTGATGTAGGGTATGCAATCTAGTCAGCAGATTCTCCAACAAATCACAGGGTTCAGGATGTATTGCAACATGGGTATTTGCACTGTGATAAGACTTTCAGAAAAATAGCAAAGTTCAACTTCTAGAGAACATTTTTATTTCAGAATGTGGTGTAGGTTGCTACCGCCATATTCACACATTACTTTGAACCAGCTTAATGGCCAAGAGTACAAGACCGATGCTCATGGCTACTTCTCCATTCCAAATAACGTCCCCATGTTCCCTGATTAGATAAGTGGCAAGCAATATACAGGGTTTATTTCCCAGCCAGGAACAGGAAATAGAAGAGGCTAAGTCGTGGAACATGAGATGATTGCTGCAAGCATGTGATGAAAGCCTCAAACCCCTTTTTAACCTGTTTCTGTTCCTTACGCTTTGCCAGCCAGGATACAAAGACAGCAACTAGGAATTTGGCTTAGTCTGAAATCCAGATGAGTACAAAATAAAATTATTTATAACATAAACTGGATATTTCACTTGGCATTAAGAGATTATAATTAAAAATGAATCACCAAGCTGTTTTCAAATTATACTATCAAGATACCAAAGCATCATATCTCAAAGGCCTCCAGTTCTTACCAATCAATTTAATGGAAGGATTTCTCTTTTTAGCTTCTTTCATCAGCCACCATTCATAGCCACGGAAATAATTTTCATCATTTTCATAATGCATGTGGGAGGGTTCAGTGCCATCTAGGAATGGAAAATAAAAATCATCTTTGTATTTCATTAAATGCAAGACCTTCAATTATTTTTACTCCAGCGTATTTTCCAAAAACATATGAAAATACATATGTGTAATGAAACTGAATATGAAAACATTATTCTATTTTAGCCCACAAGATAATGTCAAGGGCAGAAGCATTAATACAGGTAATTGTCTCTATCACATTCATCTTTATAATCTTCATTTTAAAAACATAATTGTATGACTAGCTAGTAATAACAGATTGCAAAGCTTTTCAATAGAAAACAATTATGTGCCAAGAACAGTCACTCCTATATTTTAGACATAAGTTTCAAAATGGAACTTTAAAAATGGAACTGTAAGCATGATACCAAATTTCAGACTAGATTTAGAGTTTTCTTCGGTAAACAATCACTATGAGCAGTTGTACACTCTGCCTATCAACCATCCAGATCCTTAAATAGTTCTTCAATTATCTACATTGGCAGATACTAAGTCTTTAATAAAATTGCTTTACCACAGGCTAAACTTGTTTTTCCATTTTCTATGTGCCTGAAATAAACTTGCTACATAAGGAGCAACCTCACAATTCTAACAGTTGGCACCAGATTTACTTGCTGATTTTTTAAACAAAGTGGCCCTATTTTGTTCAATTAGTACAGTTAATACAATCATATGGAGGGAAGTAGAGAAAATGCATGTTATATCATGCAAAACTTACTTGCAGGTTTGCAAGTATCACTTAGAATTAAGGATCTATCAATACATTATCCAATATTAACCTAGCACATATTGGAATATTACAGGATCTCCCATGCACTTCTTCTTCTTCTTGTGCCATATCCGTCATCGGACGTTGGCAATCATGTTGGCAATCCTATTTTTGTCAACAGTCGTATGAAAAAGTGCTGCTGAGTTTTGTCCAAACCATTCCCTTACGTTTTGAATCCATGGTGTTCTTCTGCCTGGACCTCATTTGCCTTCAATCTTTCCCTGGAGGGTTAAGTGAAGGATGCCGTATTTTTCTGGGTGTCGCATCACATTTCCAACATATTCTAACTTTCGCTTTTTAATGGCTTTGATGATTTCCCTTTGCTTTCCCAGTAGTAGTTTTGGGTTTATCATGCTTCTAGCGGACTGGGAGATTCTTAGCACCCCTGCCCTCTTTAAGGGCCCCCCGTACTTGGGGTCATTGTTAGGTTTTGCCACAATTAACATGATTTTCTTGGGAAATATATAGTGTAGTAGTCATTCCTTTGCTTTCTACACTGCTGTACACACCCTGTTCAAGTGGCTGCCACCACACCATGTGCTGTTCTTCAGAAGTCATTCTGACCAATGAGGTCTCCGCCTTCAGTCAATACTGATGAGCTAGCTACCACTCACCAGACCTGTTGGTGCATGGGCAGTATTTTATTCCCTCTAACCCACCATTATAGCATAAAAGCTATACTGGGTAGGAGCCCCCAATCCGCCACACAGGGACGCGCTCTGTGGGGATTCCAGGCTCCCCCTAAGAATTTCCATGCACACCGTCTAGAACAGTGGTCACCAACTGGTGGTCCGCGGACCACTGGTGGTCTGCGAGAAAATTTTGGTGGTCCGCAGGCACACCCGGGTGGAGGAGTTGCTCCGGGATGAGCAATGGCCAGTCCTGTGACTAGAGCTCTGGCCAGGCAGCTCATAGTGGAGCTGTAAATCTCCGCCATAGAGAGAGTGCAACTTGCAACTTTGCAGCACAGTCCTCGCTGGTGGGAATGAGGTAATGGTGCAAGGGGGGTGGGAGAAAGAGAGAGAAAGAAAGAAGGGGAGAAAGAGAGATGAGAGAGAGAAAGAGAAAGAGGGGGAAGAAAAATGAGAGAGAGAGAAAGGGAAAGAGAGAGAAAGAGAAAGAGAGGGGGGGAGAAAGAAAGAGAGAGAGAGAAAAAAAGAGAGATGAGAGAGAGAAAGTGGGAGAGATATGAGAAAGAAAGAGGGTGAGAGAGAGAAAGAGAGAATGAAACAGAATCAGAGTGAGAGAGAATTAGAATGAGAGAGTAGGAGAGAGAGAAAGAGAAAGAATGAAACAGAATCAGAGCGAGAGAGAATCAGAATGAGAGAGAGGAGGGAGAGGGGGGAGAGAGAGAAAGAGAGAATAAAAGAGAAAGAGTGGGAGAGAGAATGAGTGGGAGAGAAAGGGGAGAGAGAGAGAGGGAGAGAGGGGGGAGAGAGAAAAAGAGAGAGAAAGGAGGGAGAGTGCCTGAAGGACCCCATCCTATCACTGGGAGTCCAGGCGCTTCAACAAGCGGCGTGCTAGATTCATATTAGTGGTCCACAGGATTTAAAATTATGAACTCGGTGGTCCCTGAGGTCCAAAACGTCGGGGACCCCTGTTCCAGAATATATGCAAGAAAGGAATGGAGGAGTGTGTTATAAAAAACCATTCATTTGCAGAAGAATACATATCAGCACTATTACCCCAAGGGCTCTCATTCGCTGATGGTACAAACCTTTCCTGAAAACCCAAATTTAAATACCTGTAGTCTGTGCATCACCACCAATCTCTACTTTGAGGAGCTGTAAGGAGGCACCAAAATTTGGCTTGAAACAAAAGAATAAAAAAGAAGTGTTAATGTTTATGTTTGGTAAACAACATTCCACTGTTATCACACTCATGTTAATAGGCTTCCTCCTAATTAACATGAACTCCTCATGATTCTAAAAAGAATAATTACACTATTTCCTCCCTCCCTACATTTTATGAAAATGATAACACTCTACATTGGCCTTCCTTCCTTCCTTCCTTCCTTCTTTTTCATCAGGTCAACTTTCTTAAAATGTTCCATTCATTCCTCAAAACATTATATTGTTTCAGATGGTTCAGACAAGTATATCAACCCACTAAGTAGGATTCATACATCATGGCAGTGGTGAAATCCAAATTTTTTTACTACCAGTTCTTTGGGCGTAGCTTGGTGGGCGTGGTGTGGCTTGGTGGGCGTGGCAGAAGGATACTGCAAAATCTCCATTCCCACCCCACTCCAGGGGAAGGATACTGCAAAATCTCCAATCCCACCGCACTCCAGGGGAAGGATACTGCAAAAGCCCCATTCCCTCCCCACTCATAGGGGAAGGATATTGCAAAATCTCCATTCCCACCCCACTTTGGGGCCAGCCAGAGGTGATATTTGCCAGTTCTCCCAACTACTCAAAATTTCCGCTACCGGTTCTCCGAACTGCTCAAAATTTTCCACTACCGGTTCTCCAGAACCTGTCAGAACCTGCTGGATTTCACCCTTGCATCATAGTGAATAAATTCACATGGAATGCTAAGATCTAACTATGACTTACAAATCCCAATACCCAAGTCCATATTTCAACTGCAAAACTCCAGAAGACTCTTACAGGGAAGCAAAGAGTTAGCATTCATAATTTTGCTGCCTTCTAGGATATTGCCTGAATTTCTGTAGTTCACAAATGGCATGTCAACATACTATGACTCCATACAGTGGTGGTGAACCAAGACATATATGTCAAAGATGACATGCCACAGTATTCTAGTGGACACACCAGCATTTACCAGCATCCAACATCAACTGTTCTCAAAAGAATGTCCCATCCTATTGTGAAAGTTGGAGACTGCAGAGGTCACACAAGAATGGGTGTGCTTTCCTGTGCTCTCTAGAAGTTGTGCAAGAGGGTCATACTCTTCCACCACCGCAGACCCTCCACTTTTTGAGTGACTGACAGCAGTGGCACCAGGACTGAAGACAAGGTCTGTGTATCTACTTCAGTTCTAGCACTGGCACTGTTGCTGAATGCCGCTGTTTAGAGTGGTTTAGATGGGAGGAAGATAGAGAAATGATTATCTTTTGGTCATGTGTGTGTATTCGTGTGTGTGCGTGTGCATGTGTGTGTGTGACATGCCAGCAAAGTCAAGTTAGGCATATTTTGATATGCCAAGCCAAAAGGTTTGCTATCACTGGTTTAAGTACAATGCGAATCCAATCTCTGCTTCTATTCACATTTTCTTTCTGGATTACTTCAGAAAGTTCAAACAGACTATGTTTGATTTTTCCACAGGTAGTCCCTGCTTAACGACAGTCAAGTCATTGGGACTGGAATTCTGATTGCTAACCAATGTGGTTGTAATGCACAACATAATGTGAGTAAAATTGCATCGGTGCCCATAGCACCCTATGAGTAATTTGCGGCTTGGGGGTGGTTGCCGCTGAGTGGGGGAGATTTAACTTTACAAGAAAGGTTGCAAATGCTGTTCACTTGACACTGAGGGCCATTGTAACCATTATTAAGTGTGAGCCAGTTGCCAAGTGCCCATGTCATAATCATGTAACTACAGTGGTGAGATGTTGAGTTAGAAGACCAGTCGTACCACTTGTTCAGCACCACTACAACTTCAAAGAGTCACTGAACTGTGGTTGGTAAGCGAGGACTATCTGTATATCATCCAATACTATTGGAGAAAAACAAGAACTAGCCCTAAAGGAACTTCCAAGTAAAAAGCCATAAGATTAAGAAAAAAGACAGCCAATATATAAAGGGGACAAACCAGGAAACTGATATGAATTATGTACTTGCATTATTTAATGTAATGGTACAAGAATGTAAGTTTGCATAATTTCTGAGATTGTTACAGGATCATGTGGGTGTAATAGACATTATTGGCTATATACCAGATGTATCCTTCAGATAACCAATTTTAGATCATATGAGAGCTCACTGCCAAGCAACACCAAAATTATTAAAGAAATTCTGAAAACATTTTATAAAATTTGTTGGAAGAAAACCAGTTCTGCCTTCTCCAGTCATTAGTATTTTTTTTTCTCAAGTGCTTCCAAAAATATATCCCATTGCTCAACCAGATTGTATACCCACCATATTATTTTCATTCAAGGCAAGTAATGATATGTAAAGTATAGAAGAGGAATACATTTGTAAGGGAAAGAAATTAAAGAGAAAGGGAAAGGGAAGGAAAATCTACATTCTCTGTAATTTTATCATTTTACCAAGCATCTTCATACTTTCCATTAGTAATCCTTTTCATTTTGTTCCAAACAGCTTCCACATCCTCTTTATGTCTAGTTTCATTTGTTTTCTATTGGGAGATTAATCTACCTGCTAATAGCTTTGGAATTGAGTATATCTAGTTTAATGAAAAGAAGGGCTAGGTGGTGACATGATAGCAGTGTTCTATTATCTCAGGGATTGCCACAAAGAAGAGGAAGTCAAGCTATTCTCCAAAACACCTGAAGGCAAGACAAGAAGCAATGGATGGAAACTAATCAAGTTCTAAGAACTAATTAGTTCTAAGCAACCTAGAACTAAGGAGAAATTTCCTGACAGTTAGAACAATTAATCAGTGGAACAACTTGCCTTTGGAAGTTGTGAATGCTCCAACACTGGAAGTTTTTAAGAAGAGATTGGATAATCATTTGTCTGAAGTGGTGTAGGGTTTCCTGCCTAAGCAGGAGGTTGGACTACAAGACCTCCAAGATCCCTTCCAACTCTGTTATTCCATTCTGTTCTAGCTTTTTGATAAGGTACTTGTGTTTTCTCTTCCTTCAGTCATTCAATTTTCATTCTAATTTCTTTTATTTACAATTTCTTCAATGTCCACTTGCTCCCATTATCACCTCTTGATATAGCAAAAGGTGCTCTGGCCCATATTCAGAACATCTCAAGAGTCTTGAATCTTTCACTAATTCTCTCAAACTTTCATCACAATCATGCTTTTAGATTTATATTCATTTTTTTGGTACATGTATATATGAAGGGATTTGCTTGAAGTATTTTAAATATATTTTTATAAGCAGATTTATAAGCAAATTCTTATCCTTCTCATTCATTATTGGGTCTTTGAATCATTCTGGTAGTTAAGATTCTGGGCTAAAAGAGTAATTCAATGGCATTTCCTCTCCCTCCCTCTCCCCCACTCTCTGCCTCAGAAAACAATTAAAGTTCTACTTAAAATCAATCCAATAAGGCAATAATTACCTTAAAAAGATAATCTAAAATCTGAGATCGATAAGGCTCTGGATAATTCACTAAAAGACGTGAGGTAGCCTAGAAAAAGAATTAGGAAGAAAAATGTTTGGAATTAATACTTATACATAATGATATTACTGATCAGAAGTATCAGATAATCATTTCCCATGCCCATTTCCCCATGTTTCGTTCATTATTCCTGTCTTCAAAAAAATCTTGTCCTAGCCCCGTGATGGTGAACCTATGGCACGCATGCCAGAGGTGGCATACAAAGCCCTCTCTGTAGGCATGCATGCCATTGCCAGCTGCTCTTCTGGTTTCCGGAGCGCACATGCGTGCTGGCCAGCTGGTCTTTGAGGGTGCCAGAGCACCGGAAAACAGCATGAAAACGGCCCAAAAAATGGTCCGGAAAACGGCCAAAAAACAGGCATGTGCATGCCAGCCAGCTGGTCTTCGGGTTTCCAGCACATGCACATGCATGTACATGCACGCACTCAGCGCCGAAAAGATTCACCATCACTGTCCTAGCCTCTACATATGTTTTCTGCAAATACTGAATTTAACAGATAGCTAGCCAACCATGTTGATCTCAAAATACCATGTAGGATCAAATGTGGAGATCAACAGAAAATCCCTTGTAAATTTGACAAGGAATTCAGAAAAAAAAATTAGCCAAAGAAAGCAGTAACAAATTACTTCCAATTTCTTGTCAAAGAAAATCAAAAGGATTTGTCCAAGAAATAATAAATAATTAGAAATAAGGTTTCAACTTGAGTGTGCCTTTATTTTACCTAATAAAATCTTATTTTTACCCCACTTGTCTTATCAGTTTCCATTACCTTCCTATATTTTACTGCTCACAATGAAATATATCCCTGCATGTCCATTGTTGACATTGATCACTTCTTTCTCCTGCCTCCAAATTCTTACCTGAAAACACCCCTTTTCTCTATTTGGTTATTTTAGAAAACCAGTGTACAAAGCTTCATCCATTGAAATCCAAATGGCAAAAATTCAAATCCAGCTTCTAAAAAAAAACAAAGACATTTCCTTGCCCATTTCCCTCTCTCCTCTGCCCCCACTGAACAAAGCTGGAGAATATATCTTACCTTTAAGCACATAATGCAACACACTGCCCAATTATGTCTGTTTCTTTATATCCCCTACCTGATGTAATAGCTTCCCAACTTGGGATAATAAAATTTGCCTGTTAGGTATTATAAATTCTGTAAGGAAACCCTGTTCATCCTCATTGGAAAAATAAAATATAAAAAATGTCATGCAAGTTACAGCAACTTTTCCTGGAAGCTACTTATTATTATTAATGTACAGTATTATATGCATCGAACACAGGAGCAATAAATTGAGTTAATATGTGCATATAATATACGACTTAAAATTAAGTAACAACCACGCTCATATCTCCTTAGAGGCGTTTCCTGTAAGAAGAATCTGATCAAACTTGACAGCTCAGATCTTTCTTTTTTTTTACAGGAAACGCCTCTGAGTTCAGAACGGGTTCTCTATTTTGCCTACTTTGCCTCTGAGCGCGGTTGTTACTGTACTTTGTCCCCAAGGTAAGCAGAGGACACGGGACATCAGCAGTGCTTCCAACTAGGAAGCGACCCGAGCTTCGGGTTCTCACATTCGCAGGATTTTTCCTGGGACGATTTCCGTCAGGCTGTGAAAAGCCTCTGCAAACACCACCCACCCAACCGCAACGGATTGTCCGACCCGCTCCCAGCCCGCCCGGGGTCTCCGTTCACCCACCCCGCCGCCGCTAATGGCTCCGATGCCATCCAACTGCCGCCCCAGCCCGACGGCATCATCCAGCGAGTAATCGTCGCTCCACCAAGCAGCCGCTCTGCAGCCCAGCAGCCACAGCAAAGACCAAAGCCGCATCCTTGGCAGGTCGAAGGAACCGCCGCGCTCAGGACGACCAGGGACACCCAACCGACCGCATCCCCTCTCTCGGAGGAAATCCTCGGGAGGCGGCTGAAGCCCCGCTCCTTATCGGAAGCACGGTCATGTGACACGCGATCACGTGACCAGGCGGGCAAAACTGGCGGCGCGGAAAGAAAAGGGAGCTAAGTCTTTTGAGCGGCGGGGCGGCTCTGTTTCGCGCCTCCCACCCCCGCCCCCACGCCTTGGCGATGACGTAATCTCCAGGTCACGTGCCGGGACTGGATTGTTATTAAGGAAAAGGGCTTGCAGATCGGGGCCCTTGCGCTTTTTCAACCATTGCGTACCGTCGGCGCTGCAACGCCCTTGAGGAGTTGAAAGATTAATGTGCCTTGCGGTGATTTTAACAGCAAATGAGAACCATGTTCCTTGTAATAAAGTGGGGGAAAGCATGCAGAGCGTGGCTTCTCCCCTCTAACACCACTGGAGGATTTTATTTCCTTGGGTGGAACGACGTGGAGTGGGGAGTCGGTCCTGTGTGTGTTCTTCCCTTCACAGTTTGGACCAGGAATCTCCAACCTTGGCATCTTTAGGACTTGTGGACTTCAACTCCCAGCTTTGCTGGCTGAGGAACTCTGGGAGTTGAAGTCCACAAGTCTTAAAGTTGCCAAGGTTGGAGACCCATGCTTTGGACAACTCTTTGCCCTCTTTCTCTCCCTCTTCCTCCCTCCTTCCTTCCCTCTCTCCACCAAATGTGGTCCTATTCCTGTTTGGGGAGAGTTTTGCTGCTGATGGACAATCTTCAGCCCTATGTTTTTTCCCCACATTTGTACTAAACCAGGGGTCTACAACCTTAAACACTCAAAAGAGCCATTTGGACCAGTTTCCCACAGAAAAGAAAACACCGGGAGCCACAAAATCGTTCCTGTGCCTGACTTTTTCTTGAGCGGCCACAAAACTAGCATATGTAGTTCAATTGTAGTTCCGTCAGGCTGGACTATCAATATAAAGATTTTAATTGGTTTTAAATAATAATGTAAATAATGAGGCTGGGGGGCCTCCCGGGAGGGGGGTGGGTTGTATGGGTTCAGGGATTAACCCACGTGGGACGGGGTCTAGTCCATCTGAAGAGCACGGCGGACGAGATGCAGAATCCGGGGCCAAGGAGAGGGTTAGAGCTTGTGCTGTTGATAGACATTACATCAGTACTGTAGGTGGGAGGGGCAGATATGGCGAGAGTAGGGGGCCACATCAAGTTGCGGGAGTGCGTGCTCGCTGTCTTCAAGCGGTGGCACGCTCCGGCCCCCAATGCTCTTCTCGTTCCCCAGGTGGCACAGACCCTCAGGCCCTGGGCCTTCGGCTGATGCTATGCAATGCCAGGTCCGTGGTAAATAAAGCCCCCCTCATTTGTGATCTTGTTCAGGAGGGGGGAGCGGACCTGGTGGGTATTACGGAGACCTGGTTGGGCCAGGAGGGGGGAGTCCCTCTCGTAGAGATGTGCCCACCCGGTTTCCGGGCATTTCATCAGCCAAGGTCACAGGGAAGGGGCGGGGGGATGGCAGTTATCATTAAATAGGGTCTTGGTCCGAGGGAGGCCACTGTTCATCAGACGGCCGGATGTGAGTCCCTCCTTGTGAAATGGGGTCATGGGGTGCAGATGGGCCTGCTGGTTACGTACCTGGCTCCCTGCCACGTGGCAGCGGCCTTGCCTGAACTACTCAACGTTATAGCCGCGGTGGCGATTGATACCCCTAGACTTATGGTCATGGGGGACTTCAACCTGCCATCCGTCGGTGAGGCGTCTGAGGTGGCTCAGGAGTTCATGGCTTCCATGACGGCCATGGACCTGACCCAATTAGTTCATGGCCCTACTCACACGGGGGGAAACACTCTGGACCTGGTTTTTGTCTCTGGTCAGTGGCTGAGTGGTCTCGAGATAGGGGATATAGCGATCGAGCCCTTGTCATGGTCAGATCACTCCCTCCTTCGCTTTGCCCTTTGAACCGCCACACCCTGCCGCAGGGAGGCGGAACCGATGAGGTGGTTCCGCCCCAGGCGCCTGATGGACCCGGATAGGTTCCAGACGGAGCTTGGGCCATTTCCTGAGGCTCTTGCCTGCAGGATGTTTTCTGTCCCGTGTCCCTTCACTGTTGAAGACAGGCGCAGACTATTGGAGATGAGTCTGATTGCCTGCATCTCAAACTGAAGTGCAAATGGTTCCTGTAGTCTGCGATTTTTCTGGAAATCCAGTCACATTCCTGCACCATTCGAAGGATGTTCATCCCAAAGTGCACGACTAAATGTCTATGGAGAATCTCAGTCATCCAGGTCATGGTTGTCCCAAAGATGCTTTTTCAGGAGGCAACTGGACATTTTGCTCTGCTCTGCTTTGTTTTTAAGATGTTTAGCTTTTCAACCAAGAAGCTTCACAGAGCTGAAGAAGCTTCTTGGATGAGAAATGAAACTCTTCAAAGAAAAACAAGAAAGTCCGGTTGCCTCCTGAAAAAGCACTTTGTATTCACAGGATCGCCATCCTTGGCACACTTCACAGCCAGCTTCTGACAAGCAGAGTCAATGGAGAAGCCAGCAGCAAAATCACAAGACACAGTCGCATTATGCCTCACTTAATGAGCTGATTGATTCATTTAACAACTACAGAGGAAGTAAGCCTGTAAGGCCATCACAATTACCTGATGTCTTGCTTAATAACCATGACACTTAGCAATGGAATTGCCAATCCCAATTGTCACCATTAAATGTGGCTACCTGTAGTAATAGAAGTATATGTAGGTTAGGATGCAAGTATATGTATATCATGTTTATACTTTTGATTATGTGAAATCTGAAGTCTTCCCATCCCTTTTAAGACCTATAGAGAAACCATCTAGTTCAGGGTGCTAATGGGTGCTGATCAGTCTTTCCACCTCCGAACCATTCTTAGTTGAATTTAAAATGCATTTGAGATTCTTTTGGTTATTTGGAGATAATATGAATGATAATATGAGTTTGAAGCCCAAGCTATGTAGAGGACCATCAGCAATTCAATAGATACCCTTTCTGGCTAATAGCTAAGCACAGTTTTCTGTGCACAATCTTCTAAGCACAATGGTTTTCTCTTATTTCCTTCTCAAGCCAACCAAGAACAGAGCGCCATGTTTCATGCCTTCCACTGCACTGGGATGCACCTAAAAATTACTTTTTTTCCAAAGTGTTCCCAGGCACAGAAGAGGTCTTCCCCTCTTCTGGTGTACCTGTTGTGGTCCGCCAGCAGCCTGCGGACCTGGCAGCAGAGTCGGACAATGAGGAGGCTGGGGAGGACAATGGGCCAGTCCTGCAGTCAGGGGAAGGCTCAGACGAGGGTTCTGTGTCAGAGGCAAAGATGGGGCCAGGCCACCTGGGAGCGATGTGCGGACTCCTGAGCCTCCAGAGGTGTACAGCAGAGAGCCAGAGGAACAGGAGGAGCCTGTTCCTAGTGCATGCATGCAAAGAGCTGCCAGAAGGCAAAAGCAGCTGAAGCAAAAAGGGTGACTCGGGAGTAAAGCCAGAAGATGATTGGCCACTCCCATAAGGCTTAAAAGAGCAGCAACGAGCCGTTGGGTTCTTTGTAGAAAAGCAACATTGATTCCAGTGCTTTTTGTCAGCGTCTCTTGAACTTTGTGGGGGGGGGGGGTTGCCAAGAAAAGCCTTTGGCAGATTGCCAAAGACATCAAAGATTGGTGATAAGGCCTACGGATTGGTTATGAAGAACTTGTTTTGGACTAAGCTGAGAATGAATTAATTTTCAGCTGTTTTAATAAAATAAGTTTGTTCAGGACTGAATTGTGTTTGGTAATCACTACATGGGCCTCGGTCACAACCGGTGGTGGGTTCCTCCCGGTTCTGCCCGGTTCCGCCAAGCCAGTAGCAGTGACGATATGATGTCACTGAACCGGTTCTTCCCCCTCCCACCCTCCCTGCCCCCCCGCGTTATTCTTACCTTTTATGGCCCCACCCCCAATCTATTGCTGCCTCCTGAGTCCCAGCTGATCGGCTAGAAGGAAAAAAACTGTTTAAACTCTTGCCGCGGGGCTGATCAGTGTTAAAAGGCAGTGTGGTGGTAGACCGATGCCTCCAAAAACAAATGAGTAGACCAGTGCTTGCAAAAATAAATGGGTAGACCAATGCCTCCAAAAACAAATGAGTAGACCGGTACAGCTCTGCAAGCAGTTAAAAGCCTGGTAGACCAGTACCTCTGCTAAATCCTAAAGAATTGTCACATGACCATCAAGCCACACCCACAGAACCAGTAGTAAAAAAATTTAGAACCCACCCCTGGTCACAACAGTACCAGCACATCTGCACTGGGTTTATTTTTCTAATTATGTCAGCATATTACTGCAGTGGGATCTCAAAAGGTAAAAGCTAGGCTTACCAGGTGTCCACTATTTGAGCGGACAGTCCACTTTTTTCACATTATGTTCACTATTTTTTTTCACAAAATAGTGGACATTTTTTTTATTCAAAAGCTTTATGATGAAATGGTACGTAATCTAAAGCTGTACAGTCTAAGAGAATAAGGATAGGAGAATCGCGTTTTGTCTTTTTTTTCATAAGTTAGAATGAGACAAAAAATACGATGAGCAGTTTTTTAGAATGAAAGTTTTATTTGCCTTACGTAAAAAACATTTGCCTGAGAATGTCGTGCAAAAGTTCAAGAAAGAAGCCATCAACGTGTATCAAAGAGCCATTGCGTACCTAGAAAAGTGGTATAATTTCACCGATTCAGTATATGAGACGCTAAGTTGTTTCAATCTAATTGATCGCAATAAACCTCCAACTTTAGAAGAAATGACGAACATCTGGTTATTATCACCATGGCGAGAAGAACTTCCACCCAACACTCTCTTCGATGAAATTTCTGCCTTAGAAGAAGTTTATGTTCATCTGCAGGGCGATTCATCCCTTGATAAGTGGACGTACTTTTTCAAGAAAGAGCCAGCTCCAAGTTTACTGAAACTGTTCCAGTATTGTGCATCAATTCCGGTATCAAATGCAAACATTGAACGAATTTTCAGCATCATGGGAAATTTGTGGACTGACTAATGTAACCGACTGCTTGTACCATCAGTTCAAAGTGAACTTTGTATATTTTTTAATATTTCTCAACGTTGTACTGAAATTAAAG